AATTTATTCAATATAAAACGAATGTACTATTTATGGCGGATATAAATCTTGTTTAACATTTTATGCAGTGCAGGCTTTTTAATTTCCGGCATTTTTCTCATATTTATTTTGAAACGATTTAAAGGACATATAACTTGTAATGTACAGTGCAAAATGTTTAAATGATTTCTTTATATACATATATATGTAACTCTTAAATCTATAGATTTAACAAAATAAATAAAAGCAATGTTTGGCTTAGAGATAATCAAATTCATGTAAACAACTTCAAAGCAGATGATGGCACTTAATATTAATAACAGAACCTTATCATTTTTGAGTCCAAAAATGAGTAATTTTATGAGATTACACGTTTTTCATCTCGAAAGGAAAGACGGAATAATTTCGTGGAAAAGAAACGAGAATTATCACATTCATTCAGTGATTATTTGTATTTTGATTTTGATTTGCACAACAATTGATTTCGGTAAAAATACAAAATGGATGAAATGGATGATTACATTTTGACATTGTTTGTTTAAAAAAAAATGTTTTATTTACTTATATTAGTTATTTTTGACGAATATTTTTCTATTGAGTTACTTATTAAAACTATAGTCTTGTTTATTGTTCTCTCGTTCTCTGGTAAATTTATTTTGAACTTCTAAAATACCTAAGTTTTTTTTTAACATTTTTTTAATACGAAGTTAAAAAAAAATTGGTAATTTACTGCCTATCATGATTGTTTTAAAGCAACAGTTCAAATATACTTTTCAAAATAGTACAACATTCGACGAAATAAAAACAGACAAAAAAAAACTATAAATGAAAAAGATTTCATAAAATTGTTACAGAGATAAAATTGGATTTCATATCCGAATACTGATGCTCGTTTTTGTGCCCTCGAGACTTGCCGCGTCAATTGCTTAAGAGGAATAATAATAACGAAAACAACTTATAATGATAATTAAATATGAAATATATTATTTAATATAATTATACTACTTGAAAATAGTTATTCAGGCGTACATTATAATAATTAGTTTCATATTATAAGTCTATATCACGCGAGCTCGGTGAGACACAAAAAAATATAGAAGTAATAAAAGTCTCTACGGATTTGTAACGGTGTGTTTGATTTTTATTATAATATGAATCAAATGTACATACCTGCGAAATCTTAGCTGGCGTCGTGTTGAGTACTCAAACAATTATTATTCCAGTTTACAGTGAAAATTTCTCTCTCGGGATTCTTGGAAGTGGAAGTAACTTATTGTTATTCAAGAACGTAACAATACATGTTTTTAATCTGTACAAATTAATTCTCTGTTTTTGCGGATTTTAATAAGAAATGGAGATAGAAAATGTCAAATTTATAGCATTATTACACTTGAAAAAGAAGACAGAAACTAGATTGAGTAAACAGTTTATATTTATTGAAAATATTCTTGCACAAGAGATACAAATTTTTCATAAAAGAATGCTGTTCGAGAGGTACAGTGACGTATTTTCGGTGTGACATTACTTATAAGGAGGTGGTTAGATCATTTTATGATATTTATTTATTGCACCTTTATCGCCATGCCCTAATATGTCAACTCCCATTTCGCGTACAAAATAGAAAACTGTATACCTTCACCTCTGACATGTATATGATAGCTTAAGAAAACTACTCTCATTTTATGCTTTTCAGCAAGGTAAAAGGCCCCTCGTTTAACCCTTTCAGTTGGAGGTCCGGTCGGTTGACTTGACCTACTTACATGTTATGATACCCTGGTATGAATAGTATGCGTCTTTAAAAACAGGTTAATGTCAAGTTAAAAAATTCTAAGCAACAAAAGTATTTGTTTGAGAGCAAAAAAACAACTTTTACATAATATGTTAAACATTTTCAGTTGTATAAATCTTTTAAAACGCTGACTTTTATAAAATAAAACAGACTTGTATCAGCAAAGACTTTATTTATTTTACGACCTAAATGAAAAATTCTAGGAATTGAGATCTAAACCCTCATAACCACACAAAATTACGTAAGTACAGTCATGACCATAAACCTTGTTTATACCCTACGGAGAGAATATAAATTAAATATTTTTCAAGCTTAACTTTATTAAACTTCTTATGGTGAAAGCAGAAGGTTTAAATTTGAACGGTGAATTCCGTAACATGGTCGCCCATACGAGACCGCAAAATGTGGGAAATAGGGTTTTTGCTGATATCATTGCGGGCATCACGAGAGTTGAGCATTTAGGCTACTTTATGAAGATCCCAAAGACTGCTAGTTTTTTGTGACTTCCAGATTTCCATGAACTTTCAGTTTATGTTCATTTACGCCATAACATCCATCTTTAATTATCAGTAAGATAAAATTAGAATATACATGTACAACAATGAAATAAAAGCCTTAAATAAATTAAGAACCAGAATATAACAAGGGTTTTCATATCCCAAGTTTGTTCGTTAAACGTTGAAACTTTGAGTTGCTTATACCCAATTAAAATTTAATTGTACGTGTGCATGTCAGACAATTCTCCCCCTAATTGTTCCAGCTAACAAGTTGCTAAATTACTTTTACATTACCGTGATGATGTTTTTATCTGTCAAATTTATAACCAATAAGTAATGTCCTAATAATAATAACATATAATAAAACATATCTTTTAGAAAAGGCCTTGGTATTTTAGTCAGTTTTAAAATTAGGCTTCTGTTGGTACAGCTGAGACCGAGTTGTAAAATTTCTGCACAAAATTAAGAGCAACTATACAATATTCAAGATACGGCTCATTAAACTCGCCGGAGAAGATACTTTTAACAAATTAGTTTTGTTAAATTCTTTTATGATTTTGGTCCAAAAATGGTAGATATACATGTTTCGGTGATACTTCCTATCTAGCACTGACTTAACCTTTTTAATCTGATTTTTTTCCTTATATGGACCACCCTAGAGAAATTATTCCTATATATGTCTACTACTACTTCTGAAACTAATGAACGATTTATTTTTATAAGTTAGACAATCTTTAATCCCTTTCCCTCCCCCTCGTTCTCTATCCTTTGGTTACCTCCCAAGAATCGTCCCTAGGGATGAAGGACATTCATAGTCCCTGTAATCCTGATGGCTATAACATTAATAAAGTTAAGGAAATCATGTCCATGACCGTGGTTTGTACCTTTCATCTTTCGTAACGTAAATACTGAATCTAATTCTGTATTTAAATGATCATTATCATCGTTTCACTAAGCCTTGAAATGAAACTAATATTTTTGTATTCCTATTTTATTATTTTTAAAAAGCTACATACTTCGGAAGTTTCGGTTACTTTGCAGCAACTGTGATCACAGGCAGAGAAGATGTGAATGTTCATATAATGATAATAAATACTACTTTTTTAAATATCTCAATTGCGAAATAGGACAATGTAAATTTTATTCATAAATTCTAAAATACTAATAATAATGTGATTAGCACTTATTCTTAAATGTTATCCGACACCGATTTACCTCTTTTTTCAGAAGGTCTTTTTCTCTTATAAAGTGACGTAACACGGCTTTATTCATGAGGTTGCTACTATTAATACTCTACAACTTTGCCTTCATATGGTCACCACACAAACTCTGACAGGTCTAATACTGTTTACTCAAGTGCTTAATTCGCTCACGAGTTGACCCTCCTGTTTAATAACAAGCTAAATTATATTTATCCCTACGCTATATTAAGTTTGATAGCGACGGTAAAACTTGTTCTTATAATAAGAAGCTTGCTATGCACCAATAAGATAGTAGACGGCAAATATTTGAACAAGGTCACGTTTAACGGGCAATAAAAGTTCTGCTTAGCTGTCTTATATACTTAATGAAACAATTTCTTACCAATCACATAATTAGGCAAAGCATTATTTAAAAGCGATTTTAAGCAAAGAAACCTGAATTTTTACATGCAAAATGTAACTATGATACTATTTAATTCCTACATTCATGTCTTTCCTTTTTGCTCATACAAGAACAAAGATTCAAATTGAGACCGCATTGAAATAGTGCAATAAAATGATTTAAGAACATTGCCGCAATAAAATCGCGTGTATAGTGCCCTACTGACTTTTCAAATAAATCCTTTTGAAACAATGAAATGTATTTGTTTAAGTACTGAATTTTTGTGCTGATTTATTTCGCGTTATTTATTACATTCTTAAATGAAAATTACCGTATTTACAATGTAGCAAAATATAATAAATTACATTCTTATATTTATAATGTTAAATTCCTTTACAAATTTCGATTCACATCTAATGCGACTGACCTTAAAGACCCAAACGATCAGGGGTGATTGATGAATTACAGAAATGTTTCTTTTTTATGAGATTTTTCTCCTTTCTGTAATAAATGTTATTGCAAAAAATTTCATCGATAATTAATTCAGTGTTACCATCATTAAAATATACATATATTACTCTATATACTATGAATTTTAAATACAGAATTAAAAAAAGTTTTAGAATAAACATTTTTCATGTTTTAAAAGATTTGCTTTGTAGACAAGAAATATGTTACACGAATATTTTTTCTCGCTCACTCTTCGACCCTCTCTGTCGCCCTTGTCTCCGTGAAAGGTCAACAAAAATTACTAAAAGTTAGCAAACAATAGCTGTGTTCCGTAAAGGAAATTAATTTATGACCAAACTAAAACAATAAACAACAGCATTACCGGAAGCCGGCGAAGTTTACGAGAAACTAGAATGCGGAACATTACAAATAAAGTAGAAACCTCCAATAATATAAAAATGTATATGTACCATACCTACGTAGTTGTAAAAAGTTCGTTCACTAGAACTTTGAATAATATGAGAGATATTATTATAAATTTCAGATAATACAATCATAAAAATATTATTACGTCTATTTATTGTGAATATGTATACTCAGTTATTCAAATAACTTCAATATCTTACAGAAAATAGTCGTATATAATTAGTTAATAATGGATGTCTCGTTTACAAGGAAGTATTAATCTAGCTCTGTTGCAGACTTTCTGCGTGGTGTCGAAGAGGTTCCGTAAGAACTACATCCACCGGTTCACTGCCACGAGATCGCTGTTCTGGTGGTCACCGTGGTCACCAGTGCGACGTGCCTGCGTCTACCTCTCCACCAACCAGTACTTCGACTACTTCGTCATGGCCACCATTCTGCTCAACTGTGTCTTCCTCGCCATGTCGGAGACCATCGAAGAAGCTGAGTGAGTTATAATTTTCCTTATTCACATCCTAAAATAATCACCAACCCGTCTTGAGCAAGCGTGGTGATTTATGCTCAAACCTTCTCCATGTGAGAAAGAGGCCTTTGCTCAGCAGTGGGCTCTGATAGGCTGATGACGACCTCCTGAAATATAGTAAATATAAAAAAAATTGTCAAATATAAGCTAAATAAGTTACTTTTGAAGTAATTTTAAACAAAAAGACATATTTCTGCTACAGCTAATGCACGAAATGTAATTTCCCAACTGTTCAGAACAAGTTTTATACCGTACTCTATTTATTTTACCTAAAAGGATTATATTTCAAGCTGTAACGTAATTGTTAACAATACCCACAATGGACCTCTAGAATAAGTGTGAAACGTCAGTGGTTCTAGAGTGCACTTTATTTTGTAAGAAGTGTTCTCATTATACGACTCGAGTGAAGACTAATTTTGTAATTCTGCAAAATGCTGTCATTCTCTCCCTAACGTTAATCTATTAAAGAATTGTTAACTAAGCTCCTCTTTTATGAAAAATGTCAAGTTTTAATTCTTTGATTTGTTTTTAATACTCGTTAGGTTTTTTATGCAAAACTCTCTAAAATTTGTTAAGTTTTTTCTAATACAAAAAAACGTATGTAGTTATACTTACAAAGTAAATTTTTTACAGCTAATAATCCAAATATTAACTTTAGCCATGTCTCTACTCGCGTGTTTGAAGATTTCAATAGGTTTCTATATTTTAGGAAAGGTTTCTGATTCTATTTTGCACGATTTATTTAAAAAACTCATATACATTGAGAAACCAACTCTAGTATTTTTGATAGTAGTAGGAATGTAATGAATGTAATTATATTTTTCTTGGTCCCTTTTTAACTTTATTTATAATATATGAATCATTTTAAATATTATGACTCTTGTGTTACAAGTTATAATATTTTTGTCACGTCTTTTTTAATATGTTTAAAACTGTTTTCATCCTATTTCATCTTAAAATACATATTTAACTTAATTCTAAAATAGAAATAATCAAATAATATATAGTCGAGTATTATATTTTAAAAGAAAATATTTATTTTACAAGAAAATCTTTCAGGTCCGCTACGTAATATTTTCTCATATATATATGGATCGGTTCTAACTCTGTGATTTTACAACCATCCATCAACTGTTAGTGTCACTGCAACTTAATGTAATGCTTTCAAAGCATCAGCGACATTATTCAGGGGTGACATGAATATTTATGCATTAATATTCTCATGTGGCAGTGCATAAGTCAACTACAGATTAATTTTGAAATGTTCACAACATTCTGCTCATTTATTTTCCGTTTAATATTTAGTAGTCTTTGATTAAATCTAAACTTGAACTTTAAATTTCCAATTCTTGATCAATAGTTTATTAAATGATTATAAGAAAATGTAAGTATCAAATAAAACGAATTTTTGCGCTTAATGGCGTCATATAAGAAAGCAAAATATAAAATGGACTCGAAAAACTATCACATGATAGATGGTACAAACAATATGTCAAAGGACGCGCTATGTTTGACATGTCTTACACTGACAGACATATCAGGAGTGGCCCGTCACTGTCTCCTTGATTTTTGACAGTTTCAGAGAAATGTTCGTTTAATTTAGTAATTAAAGTCATTCTCTATTATGATGTAAGATTTTATCAACATTGATCCAGTTATGGTGACGCGTCAGGCCAAGGAAATATGTAGTATCCTGATCAAGAAAAGATTTAAATCTTAATAAATTAACAATAACTTATAAGCCAGAAACCCTTTATACAAAAATCATATGATTTTTTTTAAAGTAATTATGCAATTTATTTATGATGTTTATTCCAATTAAATTTTAAGTAAAATATTCATGTAGAGGAACCAATATACTTAATTTTCTTTAAATAGTATTAAAGAGAATTTAAAATAAACAACCTTAAAGATGTTTAGGAACACAAATACATTAAACAATGAATCGTTAAACATATATCAACAGTTCGAGTGACATATTCATGAATCGACGTGAGGTGTGTCGAATGTTGCCAGTGTTTGGGACAAATTGGCAGGTCGAACGCGTCAATATCGATGACAGCTTATTTATTAACATGGCAACACACATATATATTGTATTATTGTTTAAATGATAACACCCATATTATTTATAAAGATCTTTATTATAAGTATTGACATCCAAGTAATATTGGAATATTAACATATTTTACAAATTAGAGTATTATCTTAAAATATATATGATTGTTAAAACTAAAACATTATTTTATATAATAAAATTATAATAATAACAACGCTGTTTACACTAGTACATGTAAAATTGTAATGAAAATGTCTTTATAAATCTTAATTTGTTGCAACTTTAAAAAACTAAATGAAAGGAAAGCACGTACTTTTGGCATCGTTTCCTAATAAGTAAGGATTATAACTTTCTTGGCTTAATGCCTAAGCACCCGTTCCCGACAAGATGTCAACAAAAACAATGTAAATGAGCTTAAGAGATACGACTCACTGAACAGAGTGATTTAGAGATTGGCGACAGTGTTTCAATACTAAAACAAGATGGCTGTCTTCTAAAATATTTATCAGGATGTTTGAGATTAGTGCCGCTCAGCCACTGCAAGAAATGTTAAAAGGAAAAATGGAAAGAGACTTAAAGAACTGTATAAATTTTTTTACCACATTCAGTACGTCATAGTTTTAATAATGAACGAATGAATTCGAGTCAATAGTTTGAAATATCAGCTCAAATAAGTTGATATTCATTAGATAACACTTAGCACGTGGTGACCTGAAAGACGGTTATTGATGTTGGCAAGGGACCACACTTTTATTGAAAATTGTTTGGTATTACTAAAAATATTGATAAAATTTTATTTCAGGGTTAATTTTGACAATGACTTTTCAAAACGATACGAGTCATTTCAATTTATCGAACGGGTAGCGAGTTGACAATTTATTGTGTTGTAATCCTTTTATCCTTTGGACGTTTCATACAATTTTGCACACCCATTTGTGAGAATAAATATAGCCGTGTGCCAATTTTGCAAGTCATCAGTTTATTTGTTATTATATGTTATGTTTACAAGAAAGTTCCCCTTCGAAAACAACCTCTTTTTATGAAATGACTTAAAAAACGAGTTCGTTTTATGTACATATTTATTTATGTGTTTTCATTATGTTTTCATTGATTATTATTTAACCAAAAATAACCTGTAAGAGGTTATTTATCAAACTTTCGTATTTTACTTAATTTTACAGGCAATTATTTTTTTCGCGTTTTGTCTTGGTTTCATTATGATACAAGTATATGGTATACGCTGTAAAAAAAATAATTTATGCCAGAATATTCAAACAATCATTAATTTAAATGTAAGAAATATAAATTAAGTGGCAGTCACGTCTCGCCCTGTGTTTATAGCTTCCGTACCCTAAGACTATTAAAAATGTACACTGTAAATGCAAGGACGATTTTGTAGGAAAAAATTCTTCGCTAAAATTTTAAATTACAATAAAACTGCTACTTTTCAGTTCGCTAGCCTCTCACTTCCTATCGCTTGTTTTAAAATTGTTTTTTCTTTAGTTTGGCTTCACACCAAACAATACTATGTATTTCTATGTTATACATGTAAACTAAACCTAATGTACATAGATATAATTTCGTGTTATGGAAATAAATATGTACATATATATACATACAATATATAAAGATATGTTACTTTGAATGTGCTATTGTAACTTTTAACTTATTCTTGTTATAGGTTTAATTGTTTTAATTAATGAATTTCGTAAGATTAATAACTTTATTTTTCATATGTGGCAACTTATTAAGATATTTTATTAAATTAATATTGTCACTTTAATATTACAGTCATCATTATTATAATAGATTTTTTAATGTTACTTATCAAATGGATAACAAACAAAAGAACAAAAGGATACTATTTTTAGATGCTTTCAACATTCAAAATATTTTTTCATAGATACAGAAAATTTAAAATCAAAAAAACTTTTATATCTATTTTATTGACAATGAAAATACGTTAAACTTTATTCTGGTTATATTTAGGCTTCAACGTCAGTATACACGTAGTAATTGTAAGAATTACTGACCAGCAAAAATGATAGAGGAATTCGATTCAATCAAACCTTCACATTGAGGCTTCAATTATTTAATATAAATCTCTATACTTCTACTTTATTATCATGCTTATCTGTATAGAGACATATTTCTATTCATGAAATATCATTCAGAAAGGTTATTTAATGAGTAATAATAATTACGTGGCTGTAAACGTTCGTTGCTCCGTTAAGTACTAAATGATACCAACTGAAAGTCTGAAACTCTTCATGTCAGAATGTCAAGTTTTCTTGAATAGCGTCATTAGTAACTTTATTATAAGTAGATATCTGAGTACCTCGTTTACAATATTAATACATTCTGTTAAATAAGTTTTAGTAATATAATCAAGATGCTATAGTAATTTACTTTCAAAAGTCATATACCCTTTGTCATGTTCAAAGAAAAACATATAAATATTTTCAAATTCAGTTGTTAAATAAAGGTATTATTATTTTTTAGTTTTTATGCTATATTTTGCGAGTACATTTATTACAAGGATTTTTCTAGTTACTACATACAATACTTTTAACAAAATGGTATGTATGTACTAACATTTCAAATGTTGTTCACTTCTCATAAATAATAGTTTTTTATGGCAGGTTCTCTTGATTTCGTACTTCCGCCAGCAATGTCACAGTTCAAAAAAATCGTTTCTTATTCAATACATACGTTAATATTGTGATTTACAATGATTTATGAGTGAAAAACTGTTAAGACTCCGTATGCGGCGTTTGATAACAATATGGACACCGAGTAAGCACTGGGTAATCTCTTATATTTAAGATTAAAATAAATACAATCTGAGTCTTCTGTTGACTATAAGAAGGTACCTTAAACAACGAAACGAGCAATTAAATTAAATTTTATTATATCATAATTGGTAAATCCATTTCAATCCCTCCCATAACCGCGAAAGCCTGTCAAAAATCACGTTCATGAAAAGCCTGCTTTGGTAAAAGATTTATTATAAATAATTCATATCTTTAAAATAAACGAATTAATAACTTTCGTATTAAATTATACGAATATAATTTAACACGAGTAACGTTGCAAGGAAGTGTGGATCCTCTAAAAGCTCGTCTCACTAAAATTATAAGCCCGACCGTGTATGATTTAATTGTGTCAAAATGGACTCCCCGACGGACGGAAATTTAATAGAAACTCATGAGTAGATCTCATTCCGAATGTTATATTGAATTTGCTCTAATAAAATAGTGAGTACGAAATAGTGGCATACAATTATTCCGGTTATCTTTTTGTTTTTTCTATATTACATTTATTGAATAAGCAGTTTATTTGTCACTTTTAGGATTCATGATTTGTTTTCACTAATCTTACGTTGTGAAGGAAAACCCTTAATTAATTATTGAATACGTATTTATAAACATTGTATCTTTAGACTTCGCCAGACTACAAATGAATTTACAATACGATTAGTGATAAAAAAAATACAATAAGTTGTATAAAAAATGAAATATATTCTAAGAAAATAATAATAGAAGCAAAAAATAATATGTCACAATATATTTAAGAATAACTAGCTATTTATAATACAAAAGGAAGTAATGACAGAATTATGAGATTTTTTAAATTCAACCGCTCATTTAAATGTAGCATTAAGCCATCTGATCTTTAATAAATGTTTTACGTAAAAATGTTTTACAATTATGTTTAAAATAAGATACAGTAATGTAATTTTTGTGGATTTTTCGTTTCGTTCGTTAATTATTTTTTTATATATATTTCTTTTCATATTAGCTTAATTTAATAATACCAATTCGATTGAAGATATCATAAATCATTATGTTAAATTTATATCTTAAAGATTCATGTTCTATTCGCTAATGTCGTGTTTGCATGACGTTAACGCTCATGTCTTGATAATAATTAAACCTCAAACAACAGTGTTGTGATGATATAACGATGAAAAGTTCATAGTAAATTTAATTATTAAAACGATGCAATTACTTGTGGTTTATGAAACAGATTTAATATTATATTAAATAGCTTTATAGAAAAAAGTTCCCTAGAGAATAGAGATGATCTTATGTCTTGGTGGATTCAAATTATTTTTTTAATATAGTATAAAGACAGTTAAAATCTTTAAAAAATTAGGATATTAAATACATTATTGAAAAGCTATTACAAAAATCTAATATTAGATTTGGATTTTAGGCTTCGACGCTTGACAAATTTTCCCTTTTTTTTGCTGTTATCGTGTAAAAATTCTGTACATAAAATAGCACAATAATGTGATTGAAATTTCTTTATTGTATTTGTTGAAAAAAGATTTATACGAATGACATTTTATATGGAATTCGTGGGTACAAACGAAAATATTATATCTTATACTAAACTGAACAACCAAGCCTTTTACTAAACCGAATTCCATGTTAGTAAAAGGCTTGTAAAAATTCATATTGTATGATATATTCAGCAGTTCAATTACTTCCATATCCTATTCCTTTATTCATCTGTTTGTGTTCAAGCAAATGTTTCATTCAAATGAATTAGTTTCTGGGTAACTCATATTTCTTTATTTGGAAAACATAATATGACTGAGTGAGTATTATTAAAAATTTCAAAGGTGATCTGAAATCAAATATTGAATGAAAGTATACATTGCTTAGTCTTTAAGATAATCTCATTTCAGTCCATTTGAGATCGGATCTTAATATCTTGATTTAAGACTTAATATTCGTTGAGATCAGGGGGATCGTGCAAAATTTGATTAATACGCCCACGAACGGCTGAAACGGCTGCCTTGTCTTTGATTCGGGATTTAGCGTTTACGAAAGTTTTTTAAAACGACCCTCTTATTTTATCATAAATGTGAAGATAATGGTAGCATTTTGTTCTCGTGTATTCTCTTAAAAAGCATTTAAGGTATAAATTGAAAATTATTTTTATATTCTGTGTTCAGTATAAAGAATACTTCTAATGAAGTAAATAGTTTTTTTATTATTTTTGTATATCAATGTGCTGGGTAATTATTCACTCTTCATTGTGTGTACAAACGGTAATAATGTTGTTTCAGATACATATTTCTGGCGATATACACCGCGGAGATGATAATAAAATGCATAGCGAAAGGTTTTATACTTAACAAGTATACTTATCTACGGAACCCATGGAACTGGCTGGACTTCGTGGTCATAACGTCAGGTTACGCCACCATCGGCATGGAGGTTGGCAACCTTGCTGGCTTGCGGACTTTCAGAGTGCTGAGGGCTTTGAAAACTGTTTCCATTATGCCTGGTAAGTAACATATACATACTTACGTTTTTAATGACGTCTTTATAGAGTTTAAAATATTAACTTTGAGTTATTTGTGAGCATGATTTCTATAATTTTAGTTTCTTTATGTTATTTGTTTATTCTTTATCTTTGCACTGATTTACAAAGCCTTTTACAACACCATTATATTGTCTGTTAAGCTTTTAACGTGTAAAGAGCATGATACACGGCAAATTATTGTACGCTGTAATAAAAAGTAAAAAATCCTATGTATTCTCTGTCTTTCATTCCCCGAATAGCTTTTCGTCTGTCTATTTTAAAGCTACAACATTTCTGGATGCTCCGAATTTCGAAGGTATTTTTGCTTGAGGCCGGATAAAAACAACTTAGACGTCAGCTTTGATATCAGAGAGCCTTTTCCTATTTTATTTTCTTTGTCGAAGGTGGGATATGCGTTCCATTTTATGGACTGAATATATTTTTCAATATATGCTTTGCTAGCTCAAAAGATATTGCCTCATCTGCATACTTTGAAATAAAAAATCATAGACACATATCTCTTAATTAAAGTGGCATATTTTTTTCTCAAATCTGTTTTTTTTTATATTATAACTGTCGTCTAAGACTCCATTCGAGCTATTTTTTACATACGTATAAAGTTTAGAATTCTTTATTAAGACTACCAATAATTTCTTTAATTTTATATATATGTGTAGAAAAATAAGAGAGACGTAAAGATAGGTATATTCCTTTTATACGTAAATTACAAAAATTATGTCTATGTAAAACAAAAGTCATTACTTGTTAGTGTAAAATATTAAAGATAACTTTTTTGCAACAACCTCATTTCCAATATATGAACCGTCAAACATGACGGCCTCATTTGTAAGCCAATCCGGAAATTGTAAGTGAACGGGAAATAAACTGTAAGCGAAATAGAATCGACATTACGACTAGTGTTTGAAATTATTTTACTTGATAGACTTGTGACAAGTTGTGAAAATTTTTAATCGAATATTGAAACTAATAATTATAGAATAAAAATATTCTAACTGTATCAGTTAAGTGTACGTTAAGGATAACTTATCATTTATCTGAATGTTTCATACTTAAGTCATTTTAGATTTAAATATGAAGTTTTAGAGTGATATTGCTTTTATGGTTAATGATTGCTTGATTTAGACGGGATATTCGCTCTCGCCACAAAAACTACTATACGAATAGTTCATAATGAATTCCAGTATTAATATTCGAAATATCAAGAGTATATTCCCAGAACAATATATGCCAGTATTAATATTCGAAATTTCAAGAGTATATTTCAGAACAATATATTATTTCTATATAAAGTTCCGTATCAGCTTAATATTCATACATTTCCAGGTCTGAAGACTATCATCAACGCGTTGCTGCATTCCTTTAAACAGCTGGCCGAAGTAATGACCTTGACAATCTTCTGCCTCATGGTGTTTGCACTATTTGCTCTTCAAGTTTACATGGGGGAGTTGAGGAATAAGTGTGTACAGAACCTAGTGATACCACCCGGCGAAAACTTCACTGACGAGCTATGGTCACAGTAAGTAAATTATTGATGAAACTAAATGCTAGTCCAATTAAACTGAAACGAAGTGGACAAATAATAAAAGTTTGTCTGTTCACACTTTAGCTATATTTTACATACGCAGAATACATTAGCAAAATTAAAATTACTTTTTATTACCACGAAAATAAATTTCTTTATTTCGAAGTTTTGTTGGGTCTATATAAAAGTAAACTACGACTGAGTTGTAGACGTAATCAATACATATCTTGATGGGCAATGATGCTTTCTTGATGCATATGAAATAATATGTGCTGGTCTTATGTTAACAAATACTGGATATTTTAGATGGATAAGCGAACCCTCACACTGGATGGTTGATGATGATGAAGTACCAATTATCTGCGGTAACCTGACCGGTGCGAGGCACTGCCCGTCTGAATACACATGCCTCTGTGTAGGACCAAATCCAAACCACGGTTATACCAACTTTGACAATTTCCTGTGGTCCATGCTCACTACGTTTCAACTCATCACCCTGGACTATTGGGAGAACGTGTATAATATGGTTTGTTGTTAATTATTATTTTTATTTTAGACTAGCTTTCCGCCCGCAGCTTCGCCCGCGTGGATTTCGGTTATATCGCGTTTCCAAGAGAACCTTTCAAAAGTCTGGCATAAAAACTATCCTATGCTCTTTCTCAAGGTTAACTCTATCTCTGTACCAAATTTCATTAAAATCAGTTCAGTGGTTTAGGCGTGAAAGCGTAACAGACAGACAGAGTTACTTTCGCATATACATATAATATTAGTAGGGATTACGTCCGTGCCATAGAAAGCTATTGAAAATTACAAGATCTCAAAAAACTTTTTCTAATAACAAACAATATCAATACTCAAAGAGTTAAGTTACATGAACGAACATACATACATAGTTTTTTTAAGAAATTAATCTGTCCGCTTCGAAAGATATGCCATACGCATACATGTCGTCAACATAAAATTCCCTTTTTTCAACTTTAAGTAAATAGAAAAAAATTGTTTAAATAAATTTCAAGACATTATTAAACTTATATAATATCAAACTAATTAAACTTCCTCAATAAAAGGCTGTAACAAATACGAATTAGTGACTAAATTGCGAAATTTACTCTATTTTATTTAAGCTGTATTATAATTAACGAAGTTAATTGGGATTGTTTTGGAATCTTCGTGCAATTAAACTGAGTAATAATTTTAAAGTTGAGAAACCCTAAGTTTATTAATAATTAAAATATCCCTAAATAGATTTATAAAATCAAATTCCACGTCTGAGTATGTGTTTAAGCCGCAATGTTGCATTTTGGTACGTATTGATTTCTACTGTAAATGAAATAATTTCATAATAATGCATGGTTTTATCAACAAACAATGGATATTACCAGAGCTCTTGAACGTTACAAAGGCGTGTAATATTCGTGTAACCATCACTCCAAAATTAATTAAGGGTTTCGGGCGATGTGTGCGTTAGGAGATGCCTTAAATAGGTTTTATGATTACATTAACATAATTCATTAGACTTTAATATTAACAAACGTTTGCCGTTTTAAAATAATAAACTTAATTTTGCGGAAATCTTACTAATTTAGGATATTTCCTCATTGTTTATAGTAATCTGGTTACTGATAAATTCATTCTTATAATATATCGTTTAAGTATTTTAATTTTACAGTAATTTTAATTGCAATCTTCAGTGAGTTTGTTTGTATGTTTGTATAAATTAATTCAACAGTTTTTTTTTGCCTAATTTATGACGAATATATGTAGAATATAAAATTTATATGGGATATGCAAAATGAATTTCTTCTCTTTGTTGAAGATCGTGTAATGTAAATGGAAAAATAAATCGGAATTGAATATTTATATATTCATTCGTATTTCGGTTTTAATGAATCACAATTCTCTAAAACATCAAAGATGAATTACATTTTAAGTGTTATCCAACTCGACGAAATATTTTTTATATTCCATTTCAACCGCGTAATTATTCTGTACTAATGAGGCGTTCTTCAATTTGTTTGTCTTTATATATAAAAACTTTTTAATATAATACACATATATCTGTATATGTAAATAAAATAACATTATATAACTTAATTAAAAAATGTTTATATCGTTACGTAAAAAAAAACAAAGGAATTAAGTAAACGTTTCATTTAAATAAAATCAGAAGGGTCTCTTTACCTTCGTTCCCAAAATACGTCATGCGAAATAATACATCAATTATTCCCCTGGCACTTTAATATCGTGACCATTTAAAATAAAAACCCACACTTGAAATTTGACAAACGATTTAAGAAGGACGAATAATAACGACCTAGCCTGTATATTTAGCGAAAATTTTAATCATATTCGGGCCATTACTACCAATTTTGAAATTAACAGCGTTTTCAAAGTTTTTTAGTTTGTTTTGAGTCCACTGTGAGTTACATAAAAGAGCTTTACTTTTTCTTTTCGATGTAGCTAACAGGGAGTCCTGACAAAATCGGCCTTGTCATAAATATTATTTACGGAATATACGGATTTTAAAGACAGTTAAACCTACGGCTTATCACAATATATTTAACTGACGTGAAAGTATTCGTTTCTATATTTTATTATTAAAAATTCTTTAATCTAGGCGATAATCGGATCGTTTTAAAACAAATTTCCATTTAGAGTATCGTAATTTCAATTTAGGTATATTACTTTAAAGACCAATGTTTTCTTTGTTTTAAATTTTCTCATTTGTGTCATATATAAAAACATATGTAAAGTTTTCTTTATAGATGAAATCGTCTATGTTCCTTTATTTAACCTATCATGAGTTACTGCACATGTTTTATATACGTCATGTTGGCACGTTTACAGCACTAGTTAGGTTAATAATTGCAATGGATTATGATCATTGTTCTCTGCACTAACTCTGAATTAATGTGGTGATAAAGTCGCATACTTCAATAAATCCCAAGTTATGATGCTTGTTGGTTGGCGAATTTATGTTTTCGTCCACAGATATTTTATTTTGAAATACTTTTAACGTCCTGGATATTGATTTATATTATTGTACTGCACATTAAGTTGATTTAAAATATTGGCTTTTAATATTATGTCTTTTAATTATGTAAATTTACATGAAACTAACTATATTCTTATAACAAATCAAAAGTTATCCTTTAAGATTTACAATAATTTAAAGCTTTATTCAAAGTACTATACATATTTAGTATGTCATTACTTTAACCTGTTACCGTTAAGAATCGATACAAAAAAGCGATGTGACAATACATAATTATAAGCAAACAAAGATTCAAATTGGTTTATAAAATATATTGTTTTTCTTAGCACATAATAAACTAATCCTAATATTGGTCAAATGTTATATTGTGTTTTTGATATTACCAGGTTCTATCGTCGTGTGGGCCGATGTCGGTGTCATTTTTCACTGTTGTAGTCTTCTTTGGTTCCTTCTACCTCATCAACCTGATGCTGGCTGTAGTGGCACTCAGTTACGAAGAGGAATCGCAGATAACACAAGAGGTACGAAATTATATTTAATAAAAATAAATCCATCCCCATAAATAAGTACCATTCCTAAAATGAGATAATCCGGTAATAATAAAATACATTTTTAAAAGAAAAATAGCATTAAATATTTAAATTTATCCTACAATTTCATTTAAAATATAAGTTTTTATCAATAATAAGCATCGCTCTTGTATTTTAATATACTGTTACGGTAAGTAGCTGTAAATTATCACATTTCATTCGAACTGTTAATAACATTACCACGTTGGATGCTCCTGAGTTGAACGCGGACTATAAATAGCTTTTTCCTGTTGAGAAATGGAACCAGTAAGTGGCATTAAGAGTGAAATAGTGCGCGACTGTATATGTCACTGGCACTAACGTGATACGGCACTACGTGTTACTGCTACGATTGCTATTAGATTTATGCTGTCTCAGCAAAGGATGGGCCTCAAATTTCTCTGCGAATTATTATAATTTTAATAGATATTTAAACATTAAAATTGTTTTTAAAAGTATGAATTTACTATTCTAAAAGAGTAGTATCAATGTAATAATAATGTGTGGAAACATTCAGTATTTCATTCCTACTTAAGTCCCCAATGATTTTCTAAAATGTTTATACTATTACTATATCAGACTTATTAAAAGAATTTCAGAAAACTGCTATGAAACGTATAAAATATTCAACAATAATATATATGGAAGTCAGCGAAATTGTTTAAATATTGCATCCTGGCAAGTAATTGGTGAAATAGTATGGTTTATTTAAAACAAAATCACAACTTCAGAACGGACCTCAAAAGGATTTTGTAAGGAAAATATAGTTAGTAATTTATTATAATAAAATTAATTGTTCATGATTAGGAAAGAAAAAAGGATCTAAACGAGCACCGCGACGATTCCACCTTCAGCTTCGATCCGACGTCTCTAGCTGTTCGGACACTCGCCAAGGATTCAAAGAAACGTATTGATGCAAGGAAGGGCCTGCTGTTAGCGTCCTACTCACGAAAGAGGACGAGGCGACGCAAACGAGGGAAAAGCACGATACATCATACTAACACTGTCACTGTTACTGAAAGGTAAGTTAAATAATCGGTTTAAAACGTAATAAATTGTTAATGATTATTATAAAGTTTACATTTGAACCAATAATCTTAAGACATAAAAAAACAATGATACCAAACGCTCCTAGAATTTTATTTGAAGTTGTAATTAAACAATGTCTTTTTTTACATAGACGTAATATGTAATATGGAAGGTGTAAAGAAAACGAAGCATTCATTTGAGTTAGTGAAATTCATATAAAACTGCGTATTTAACTTTGGTTAATTCTATTCGAATTAATACAATATTCAGTTTGAACACACTCCTTCCTTTTTATTCGCAGTCCAAACTCTTTTATTTTTTTCCATATACGGGCGGACGTTAATTTGCGGTAACATTGCCAAATAATAAATTATGTAATGCACCAAAATCTCTACTAGTACATTCATAATTCATTTTGAAAATATAGCCATTTCGTTACCTTCATAAAAACTGTAAAGCGGTTGGCAATTTGCCTCTTGTTGGCGTTTAGGACAAACGTTTAAAATATGCGACATTTAAATTTATTCATAATTTTATCACAACGTTTAGTGGATATGCTGAATTAAAGCTGGTATGGAATTATGTAAAGTTAACAACAAAAATTACGGATGTAACAATAACATGTCTAGTAGTGGTTCAAGTATGTTAATTTCATACAAAGTTTGCTTCAAATAAAACCTACCATGGGTTTTGCTGCAATGCGGGTTAAAGCTTTGTAGTATCCGTGTTTGAAAATTTAGGAACTAACAGTTCTATTAAAATAAATACTAAATATATATGTATATAAAGTTTTATATAACATAATGAATACAATGTAAACCTACATCATAAATACTAGTGCCATAAAACAGTTAATATCTTTGAGAATCAAATGAGCTATGAAGTGGAAATAGGGTTGCACTGTTACAATAATTTACTCGGTCATAGAGATAACAAGCGATCCAAAGGAATGCCCGTTATCTCCACTCTAGTACAGAACTGAGCTTTTTGCGGAAGGAAAGGAAATAGTTTCATAAAACGAATAACAAATAGTTTTCTGGGACCTGGCAAGGAATGATTGTTTCCACACTATAAACAAATATATTTCAAAACTGTATTTCTTTGCAGAATATAAGGCTTGATATTCCTTACAGTTACAGTTTTCGCATCATTTTTATCTTTTATATAAGTTGGTTTAAAGTTGTTAAAATTAAAGTGTTAAATACTCGAAAGAGTTCCCAACAAACATTATTTCAAGTGCAAAATCATAAGTCTCTAGCGGCTAGTTTAAAGCACTTCATTTAAAATAGTAGTCATGTTTGAAACTTATATTTATGACCGTAGTTATTACAGCTACAACTTTAAATATAATCTATATACAAACGCAGTGACACAGTTGAATGGCTTGTATAAAAATAGAAATATTGTGAAAAAAATTCAATGCAGTAGATCAATGAATCCTCGGATATTTTTATATATCCCTAGCTCAGGATAAATGTATTTACTGTAGGGAAAATCTAGCTGTTTTTGATCACTATCATGTGAAATTCTCCATTTGCCATAGTCGGTCTAATTGGACGAGTCGCTTCAAAGACAAAACACAAAAATAGACAACGTATTTTTTTAGTTCCATTTATTAAAACCTTTTTATTCCATGTTGTCTGCATTAGTAAGTTATAAATCATTCAGATTTGCAGTGAACTTTGTTTTTGCAGTTTAAGTTTTGTAATTTAATATCCACAGCACTTCATTGTTAGCTATGGTACAAACGCACTAAGTAATAAATGGACTAGAATATCCTATTTCACAAGTTTTGATTAATATTTGTTATAATAAACTTCTGTGCAATGGTTTTCATTTGAATGTTTTCCCGATTAGAGGCTAATTTATTTTTTACTATATATGTAAGTACAGATGCGGGAGTGTTTTAGTGGAAAACTATTTAACCAATTTATATATATTATGAAATTTTGCAATGGTTGAGGGTATGTCTCTGAACAAATTAAAATGTTTGAATTATTTAAGATTCTACATTTTTTCTTCCAAAAACACCGAGTAGTTTATCCAAAGCAAGAACAACAGTTTAAAAAAAAGCCAAATTATATAACAAATGATTACAAAAAGAGTAAACGAAGTATTATGCTATACATTTCCATAGGTATTTTTTTAAATTTATTTCTTCATTTTGGACCTTTCTTATTATTGGCTGTTTTGCTACCATCATATCTTTAATGTGACTTATAACATAAACCCAAGCCTCTTCATGTTATGGCCACATAACATTTAATTTAACACTAACGGGAACATTGTGTGGTGTAGTCCGTCAGTAAGCGAGCATTGTAAATATTTATTGGTACCGGTAACGATGCACTCACCATAAACCGCTTTACCTTTTTCCATAAGGAAACATAAAACCCCTTGTTTGTTTCAATGATTCATTCTTCATCTGCTTCTATGACAGAATAAATGAATGTGAATTAGGTTTAAAAGTGTTTAATTAATAAACAAAATACTCCAAATTTTACACAGTTGTTGTTCTAAACACAAAAATAAAAGTTTGTGAATACGTATTTCAATTTTTAGATTGTTAGTAGTTAACCGGGGCAATAGTTTTGAGTACTAGGAATATAACACATTATACCACCTAATTGATGATAATAACAACATCTATCTGTAAGAGAGTCATGTTCGTTACACTATTTTACTAATTGTTGGACAGGTAGCTTAGAGACAGAAGACAGATATTGGATAATTTTCATCCCCTTCGATCGAAAAAGAAAATAATAATTTACTAAACAGAATCTAAAGTCTGCTTATTTACGGAGTCTAATGGGAACAGAGTTGGCCCAATAAGCGATATATTTTCTAATTCTGAAACTAACGCACACGAAGTGAGGAGCAAAAACTAGTAGTTTATGTTTTGTTTTTAAATTTGCATTTGAATTATTGTAATTTAAATATTAATAACATATAGACTTGCTACGATTATACATTTATAAAATTGATTTCTTTGAAATAAGTTTAAAATATAACTCGTTTTTTGGCCGTTAAAATTATTATAAAATACAAACTAGTCAAAATAAACATGTGCAATATTAAACCAAATATAAAACCTCTTTTATAAAGAACCTGCAGTGAGAGCAGCGTTTTATCCAAAAATTCTGGTTTACGAAAAGCGAAAATACAGTCATCATCTTATTGCATACATACAAACTTTTGTATATAATTTTTATTATCTAATTGAAATACTATCCATCAAAGGTTTTATTTTAATTTTTTGTTTTACTTTTTTACACTAAGTATTTGATTTTTCCCAAGTTGTTCCCAACTAAGCCCTACGAATGATTAACAAGCAGTATTAGTTTTAAGTTTTCACCACAAAGTTTGATACGTGATTTTAGATGTTAATAGTTGGGGTCTATTAAAATATATTTTGTAAGTTACCAGTCCAATCCTAGGAGCCGAATATCCATCTTGCATTGATCAATCCACCCATAATAATTAAGTGCCTTTTTAATACTGCTTCATTAAATTATCTTTTAATTTGTTCGATGAAAGCTTTTAATGATACTTAAATAATTTATCATCTAATTGTCCAAACGATTGCAAAATTATGCTAAAATCAGAAGAAATTTTGTATTTTTTGCCGTCGAAATTTAATTTTAATATTTCTGATAAAAAGTCCGCCAACCGGTGTCAGGCAGAACACATTACAATATTTTCTACAACGTAAGTAAAAATTAGACCTAAAAAAGTATTTTATTTCTTTAAAAATACTTCACTAGTATATCAGACACGGTATAGTGTTTTACTGGCATATCAGGAAAATTTGACAAAACGAATTATTACAAAAAAAAATTCTTCTACTTAAAGGGGCTGAATAACATTGTTCTAAATAAGGTCGTGGCTCTTGTAATTTTTCATGGCTATTAAAATCCTTCTTAGGAAATTATTTTTTAACGTTTTTGCTTTGGATAAATAAGTGGTATATACTTTTGACGTTTTTGCAAATTTGTTATTTTATGAGAGGAAATTAATTTTAACTAATAATAGTTCAAGTAAATATATGAAGAAACGGATATAATCTTTGAAAAATTATATATAAGGAATGATGCATAAATTTAAATCGATCAAAATAACCCACGTGCATTCTGAAGTAAGCGAAATAGGCTTTGTATAAAATGTGAATAATAAAATTCTATATTCAGGGATTTTCATTAAAATCATCTGAGTACAAGAGTGTTTTAGTCAGCATCCGCGTGACCTACATCTCAGCACCATCGTATCATCTCCATAATGGGAGAGCCATGTCACATTTGATGCGGAAATCGCCCCAGAACTGCCAGTAAAAAGCTTCATAAATATGTTCCATTTTATAGTCGCTGCAACGCAACTAATGTGAATCGTTTTAGTTAGACATAAACTTTATTTATCAAGCTCATTCCCAAGTATAGTATAACGGATTCGGAATTAACTAAGCCAAATATTTTGACCGCATGCGCTAGTTGCGGTCGATCGGACTGATTAGAATTCAAGAGATGTACCCCCTTGAGCTCACAAAATCCGGGGCTAATAATGGAAGCGAGAATAAAGATACTTCTCGTGACTCTTGACCTTGAATAATATTAATCATCTTCCTAACGAGATTTTAATATAAAAAAAATTAGAAACCATAAGATTTGGAATGTCATTTTCTTGATTTTTTTATTTATTTAATGTCCTCTTGTCACGACCAGAAAATGTGGCGTTTAAGAGTAAATTATGTCAGTCCATTTTACTTGTATCTTATAAGATTTTTTTTAATCCATATAAATTTACACAATAATAAAACCTAACTAAGACATTTAAAGGCAATTTTATGTTTAAATTTTTGTTTTGATACAAATTCAAAATTAATAAGATATTACATATAATCGACGATGAACTTATGTAAGTTTAAATACTTATCACCAATTTTTATATTTTTGTCACTAATTTCGTATTTTGATGAATATAAAATAATTTTATTTTTAACTATATCCGATATTTTTATAAAGGATATTTATCAAGTTTATAAGGGAAGCACCGTAATGAAGAACATAAGGGATCAAAAAGTCATTTAAGCCATATTTGAAATATGTCTATTTAATGAACTCCCTGTTTGAGGAGATGATCTATCATAGTATTATATCACTACCTTACTCATCCTTATTGAATGAAAGTCATCCTCCACCCCGTAACGTTACTTGCAAGAAAAAGACTGAATTGAATCCAGAAACTCGTGATACAAGTGTAATATTCCAGAGAAGATGAAATTATGACTAACTTGATTTCATATTCAGTCTGTGCTTATGATGTACAATGTACATTTTAAAATTGTATGTTAAGAAATTTCATATGGGAACTTTGTGCTAATTACTAAGCTCGATTACATATATTACGTTACTAGTGACTTAATTCACGTTTTTCACTATTTCTGCCCCTGACTGCTAATCTACATAGAGAAACAGGCATACGAACAACAGTACAGGAAATAAAACACTAAACTCCTTGCAAAGTACCTAACTACAGCATCTTCTTAGACTGGAAGAGCATGCAGTAGAAAGCAAATATGAAGTCAAAGATGGGCTTATTAACAGAATTTTTTCACGCCTCTTGGTACCAGTAATCTTCTTTTGACAAGACACCTCTGATTTAGCTTCTTTTTGACTATATTAAAAAAGCCCATGTTTTGAAGGCTTATTTATTAATAAACGTTTATACTTATAACATTATTTCTAATAATTTATGAATCTGAAACATTCATTTATAAAGTAAAAAACATAAACCTCTTTTTGGTCCTCCGCCATCGAGTACCTAAAACTCAAAATTAAGGACACCTTACGGGGCTTATGACAAATGCTACTCAAACCGAACTGTTGAAATATAATCTCCATGTAATAAAGCAAATATAATCACTATTGATAGCCTTCTTAATGCGATTAAATTACTAAAATGATTGTACACCCTCCCCAAATCCGCCAAACCAATATAGTCTTAATTGGATCTTTTTAATTATATCCTATATTCTAGATACAAAAATTATTTTCCTTATTGTATTCTATAACACTGAGGATAGAAAAAAGGAATAGTCAAAGCATTTGTTAAAGTCATCTCGTTAAATTAAAAGCAAATCCTTATCTAAGTACAATCTCTTCAACTACAATTAAAGAACATGAAGTCAACTCTAAAACGACAAGTTAAATAAAAAGATAAACAAGATATCGCGTAATGGAATTAAATGATCGTTTTTGCTGAAGATTTAGCAAAAACTGGTTGAGAAAACCAATATGGAACTATTGCTATTTACAGTATATATGTAAATTGTAAAAAAAAAATTCATTCTCAATTTTTTTTATTTACCATTTTTTATTTCATATATTCATTATATATTTCCAAAATATTTAAGCTAATTTAAAAATATTTCATGAATTAAGACAAGGTTCAAGAACAGAACCCTAGAATTCGTATGAAGACTAAATCAAATTTGAAGGACTATTACATAAAAAAAAGCTTATTAATATATCACAATATTTCATCAACTTTATAATTCAATTAACCATATCAAACCTTTTTTAAGGATTATATGATAATATTTTTAACATTCCAATACGAAGTATAGAAAAATAAAATTTATCGACACAAGCATTTTTTGAACCTTCGAAACTCAGAAAATGGTAACTATTAATGTTATATTTCGGGAGTAGTCATTTAAATAAGGCTAATATTTTCGATTTTATACTATTTCAATTTAGAACTTTAATGAAAAAATTATTATCATCTCATCTTCTCGTGATCACGGTTGTTGAAAAGTTACCAAAAACGTCGGGACTGTGTTGTTTATAATAATAAAAAAGAAATGGTAGTAACTATTTATGTAATCCGAATTCATGATAAGTGTTCGTTCCAGGTCCCGTTCAAGGTCACGGTCTCGCTCAGTGACGCCAAGCGGTACGCCACCCCCGCTGCCTACACCAGCTCCACAACCACCACCGTCACATACCTTACATCCAGATAATGCTTTGGGTCAGTATTTCATTCCCACCCACTGCTCAGCAAAGGCCGCTCCTCACATGGAGAAGCTGTATTAATCACCACACTTGCTCAAGACGGGTTGGTGATTCCAAACTTATAATTATGAAATTATAAGTACAGGTTTCCTCACGATGTTTTCCTTCACAGTCTATCTGGTTGTATTCAGATCGTTGCAATAAAAAACATTAATTAATTAATTTAGTAAGTGTCTTAAATCAGAAATTAATAATTTGTCAAAATAAAAATGTTGTAGATAGTCTTAAAGAAAAGGGAATTAAGGAAAAATCTACGTAATTCCAGGTCGGGGAGCCCTAAGTATAGCGGGTCGTCAATTAAGTGACCACAGTAACAATAGAGAGTCATCGCTCGATGACTCCGGAGTCGTGGATGACCACGACGAGGGTGAGCACACCTCCGATGACCAAGCACCCCAACATCGACGACACTTACTTCCTCCCCCTACAACTTTACCGCTAAAACAAGTAAGTTTTTTCAGACGAACTATAACAATAGAACGACTTTACGCAGAAAAAGAATGACCTTAATGTTATAATAATAAACAACGATATTTTATAGGAAAGTAAGAAACTGGAATCAAAACTAAAGAATGGCTCAAAAACAGAAATACAAGTGGAACCCGCAAAAAAGACCGAAAAAAGCACCATACATGAAAGATATCCTTTGAACCCGGACTACCTCAACCAGATCGTAGTTCTAGGTAAAAATCTTTATTTTTATCCTGCACAGCTTGACTGAAAATATATTAATGCGATCAAATATAAAAAAGGTGGATTGGAGAGATCTTATTGTTGAAATAAAGTTTCTCCAGAAGATAGGGGATAAGGAGTTATAGTTCAATTTGATGGCATTACCGCTATTGGTTGGCACTGCTTTTTCACTGAAACCACAAGACAAGTAACACAAACATGCAACCAAAGAAAGAATGTTTGCTTAAAATACCATTAAAATGAACTCTTACCAACAATCACAAATTTATTGTAATTTCTTCCTTACAAAGTAGTTCAATTTTATTATTTCATGTAAATTACGATATCGCTACTACAGTGCATGTTACCTTCTCTTTTACAATATTTACACAAAAAACTTTTCAACTCTGACGCTTGCATTTTTGCAACAATACCTGCTCCTGATATTTCTTTTTATTAGTATAATCATCTTTTGTAAAGAATAATTATTTGTTCATGTTTTAACCTAGTACTTTTAGTGACCAAAATCTAATTAGTGACTTTTTCGATTTGCAATCAGATAATTTCTTGGATAGCAGAAGCACTGTGTAAGATTTTTAGCTCTGTCCTTTACAGTAACCAAATTAATTAATTGCTTGAATTTGGAAATTGCACATGAAATTCATTTTCGTCTTATTTCTTTAATAGCTTAGTGTATACATTAATTATCTTATGTTGGATATTTATAAGGAGCATTGATATTTTGTTGTATGCTAAGCCACTAAAGATGTAGATTTTGCCAAATATGTATATAAAATGATTTCTTTTATAAATTCATCAGAAATTTCTTTATACTTGTTAAAGACGTATCCTCAATTTCTTAACGTATATTTGACTTTACATTGAAATCTTCTACTGTGAATTTAATTTAATACTTCTTATTACATTGAATTTATACAGCAAAAATAGATCAACAATTCATTCTTCTAATTAGTTTATTGGCGCATTAGAAATGTTTCAAGATTGCCTAGTGGCTGATTAATCACAAATTAGCTTCACGTCTTGATGGGGAAACTCATTGAACACTTTTATACAACACTATTGCAATTTCGCTTCTACCCTCATTAATATCGTCAGGGGCGGACTGGCCATACAAGCGAACGCCCGACCTCCCCCAAGCGGAGACGACGAAAATTAATGAGCTCAGTTTATTGGCAGCCACGCACAAATCTCATATGGGCAATTATGAACCAAATTGCACTTACTTCACAGGTTAGTAAAATACAGCCGCCAACGCTTCTGCCCCCCCAGTCCACCCCTGTTCCTTTTGGGAAGACTGCAGGGTGATTCGATGCGATGGTAATTGATGTGGTCTTGCCGTCTTAAGAATCGCATTGAAGTCCATTTCCGGATCATCACCTCACTTCGTCGTTATGTATCTATTGTCACTCTGTGAATGATGAAACTTTTATGCGATTCAAACTGGATTTCATAAATTTTAAAATATAAATAAGAAACAATGCATTGATGCAATATCGTGTTTTTCCTGCCTTTTTCTCTGCAGCCCCGAATATCCGCTTCAATGCATGGACAATTTTCGATGTACAATTTTACACTTGTTTTAATCTGCAAAACAAGAGCTTCACAACAATTTCTATTACGTAAATATGCTTTTGTGCGCCTTTGGCTCTTCTGCTATAATTTTGTCAGTTTTACTCTTTTCGTGTTTGTTTTGTTTTGTGTGTTGTGCTTCAATGTCCTACATACATAAATATTGTTATTTATATAATAATTTTATTTGATCACAGATGAGCTAGTGGATAGAAATTGCGAGTGCTGCGTAACATGTTGTATAGACTATGAGGGCTGGCTGCAATTTCAAAACTGCTTGTATGGAATAGTCAAAGATCCACTATTTGAACTATTCATAACTACTTGTATAGTGCTTAATACACTTTTCTTGGCCCTTGAGCATCATGGTATGAGTGAAAATGTGAGGCAAGCCTTAGATATAGGAAATAAGGTAATATTTATTTAAGGATCGTTTTTATATTGACAGACATTTGATAATAAATGATAATCTTTTCTCTGATTTTAGGTCTTCACGTCAATTTTTACATTAGAATGTATTATGAAAGTTATGGCAATGAGTAAAGACTTCTTCGCCTGTGGTTGGAATATATTCGATTTAATAATTGTTTCTGCTAGTCTCTTGGATCTTATATTCGAACTTGTAGATGGCCTATCTGTATTAAGAGGCCTTCGTTTGGTAAGCTTAGCAATTGATAAATGGATCTATTGTTTTGAAATAAATTCTTACAAAATATTTTGTTTTCAGTTACGAGTGTTAAAGTTAGCTCAATCATGGACTACTATGAAAGTTTTGTTAAGTATTATAATATCGACAATAGGTGCTCTTGGTAACTTAACGTTCGTGTTAGTTATAGTTATATATATATTTGCTGTTATCGGTATGCAGTTATTCTCGAAATCCTACACACCAGAGAAGTTTGATCCTGATCCCGTGCCAAGGTTTGTCAATATATTTTAATAAAAAAATCTTATAACATCAAGAATTTCAAGAACGTTTTCAGACCAAAATATTCCTCGCTTTTGTTTACACTTCTTTTTAATATTTTTTTTTTACATGTGACATTAATAACTGTTATTTAAAAAGGTGGAACTTTAACGACTTCTTCCACTCGTTCATGATGATATTTCGTATCCTTTGTGGAGAGTGGATAGAGCCGCTATGGGACTGCATGCGAGCAGAACAAGCTAGTGGTGCGGAGAGTTGTTTCTTTATTTTCCTCCCCGCGCTGGTGATGGGCAACTTCATGGTGCTCAATCTCTTCCTTGCCTTGTTGCTTAATAGTTTTAATAGTGAAGAACTAAAGAATCGAAAAGAGGTTCGTGTTATATAGAAACGGGTTAATTGAAGTAACAGAAATCTATTTTTAATATTAGCTTTTTGTGCAGGAAGTAGGAGAGGATTCAAAATTAGCTAAGAGTTTCGATAGAATACGTTCAATAGTAAGAAAAAAAGGTTTTCTAATATCTAGAAGTAAAGAGACTGAAAAAAAATCTAAATTAGAAGAGCTAGTAAATGAATTTATGATACAACATCGTGCTATGAAAGAGCAAAAAGAATCAATACCCAATGAACAAACAATTGCCACAACTATGCAGGAAACAATTTTATTTCCTCACGACAACATTTATAGCCACAGTTACCAGGAAGCGTTAAATAGGTAAAAACAAAATAATAATTATCAGTACTTAATTTCTAAGATCATATTAATTTTTATTTATTTTAGGCCAATATCGGTTGGGTCCGATTTTGCATATCCACAACTTTATCAAGCAGGCAATAATTATAATCATGGTAGTCAAGAAACACTTAAAGATGTTCGAGATTTAGCAGCAGAGCACAAAATAACGAGCATAAGGGAGGACTCAAAGGAAAATTTGGATGATACTGTATCCACAGATCAAATTGCTGCTCAAAAACTACTTAACCAAATGTCATCCGGTTATCACACACAACCCTCGGATTCTAGAGGTATATTTAAAAGCATTAAATTTAAAATTTAAACTACAGTGATCTCTCTTTACATTGATTGTGATTCGCTCTTCTACAATTAATGTCAGCAATGCATTAACAATATCCCTTATGTTGCTGATGTCCATGAGCGACCGTAACTACCTTCCATCAAGTAGACTGTCTGCTCATTTGCAACCATTTATACAAAAAAAAGTAGACAAAACATTTCAAAATTTTCTTATAACTATTTTTATATAACTTTATAAACTTTTAGATGAAAATGAACATTATGAAATGGCTCAAATATCAAGTAGAACAACTCCTGAGAAAAGACGACACGGACTGTTATATGGTCGGGACCCACCGAAAATACCAAGCGAAGAAGATGTAAAACATCCATGGCAGACCCTGGTATCATATGTTGATGAATTAACTGTTGGTGGAAGGAAAAATTCAAAAGGCCAGTATATTGATCCAATGGGAAAATTCCCTGGTTTCGGTAAACAGAAGGAACCTAAAGTGCCTCAGGATTGTTTTCCACGACAATGCTATAAGCAGTAAGTAATTAAATAGAAGCTTGGTAAATATATGACACATTTTACTTTTACTGTATTTGTATCAAAAATATTTTTTCTTTTTAGATGTCGTTGTTGGGATGCCTGTATTCGGACAAATTTGGGTCAAAAGTGGATGTTCATACGAACATTCGTTCTTCGTTACGTAGATACACCCGCCTTTGAGTGGTTTGTCCTTGTGCTAATTTTTGCCTCCAGTATCACATTATGTTTTGAAGATATTCATCTGGAAAAAAACATACCCCTTAAGAAAATTTTGTATTGGACAAATCTTAGTTTCTGTATGATTTTTGTAATTGAAATGTTCTTTAAATGGATAGCATTGGGCTTTTACCGATACTTTACTAGTTTTTGGACATTATTGGACTTCACTATTGTTTTTGTAAGTATGTTTCTTATTTATCTAAAAATTTCATTGGAATATGTGTAAAAAAAACTTTTATTTTCAGGTGTCTGTGTTTAGTCTTCTCATTGAGGAAAACGAAAATTTAAAGGTTTTACGATCTCTAAGAACGCTTCGTGCTTTAAGACCATTACGAGCTATTTCAAGATGGCAAGGCATGAGAATTGTTGTCAATGCACTTATGTATGCAATACCTAGTATTTTTAATGTGTTATTAGTTTGTTTAGTGTTTTGGTTGATATTTTCTATTATGGGAGTGCAGTTTTTTGGAGGAAAGTTTTTTAAGTGTGTTGATGATGAAGGCGAATTATTACCATTAGAGGTAAGATTTCGATATCTAAAATAATGTCCTCGTTGATCTGTTTGCAAATATTAGTCCATTAAATAAAGTAACAATATTATTACAGATAGTTAATGATAAATGGGAATGCTACTACAATAATTTTTCGTGGATAAACTCTAAAATATCCTTTGACCATGTGGGAATAGCATATTTGGCCTTATTTCAAGTTGCAACATTTGAGGGCTGGATGGAAGTAATGGCTGATGCTGTTGACGCGAGAGGTGTTGATCTTCAACCAGCGAGAGAAGCTAATCTTTACGCATACATATATTTTGTGATTTTTATTGTATGCGGTTCATTCTTTACATTAAATCTATTCATAGGAGTAATTATAGACAATTTTAATATGCTTAAGAAAAAGGTAATATATTCTTTATAAAAATATAGCATTAAGGTTTTGAAAATCGATGAAATGTACTTTTATTCTATTTTCAGTACGAAGGTGGAGTGTTAGAAATGTTTCTTACGGAGAGCCAAAAGCATTATTATACGGCTATGAAGAAGTTGGGTAGAAAGAAGCCTCAGAAAGTTATAAAGAGGCCAAGGAATCAGTTTCTAGCCATGTTTTATGACCTTTCTAATTCACGTAGATTTGAAATAGCTATATTTGTTCTAATATTCTTAAATATGCTCACGATGGGTATAGAGCATTATGACCAACCGCATTCAGTTTTCTTTGTACTAGAAGTCAGCAACGCATTTTTTACAACAGTTTTTGGCTTAGGTAATGAAAGAAATACATAAAAATGATTTTTAGTTCAAAATATTTATAAAAAATTAATGACATTACTTTTATTTACAGAGGCTATAGTTAAAATAATAGGACTCCGATATCATTACTTCACAGTGCCGTGGAACGTTTTCGATTTTTTGTTAGTTTTAGCATCGATCTTAGGTATTCTTATGGAGGATATAATGATAGATTTACCAATATCTCCCACCCTACTCCGAGTGGTACGCGTCTTTCGGATAGGGAGAATTTTAAGACTGATTAAAGTAAGTTATCCCAAAGAAATGCATTACTCTATCGTGCATACCTATTGTAATTATTATATCCTCTAATACTTCTATTTCAGGCCGCTAAAGGCATAAGAAAACTGTTGTTTGCTTTAGTGGTGTCGCTACCAGCACTATTCAATATCGGTGCCTTGTTAGCTCTCATTACGTTCATCTACGCAATAATCGGTATGTCCGTCTTCGGACACGTCAAAGAACAGGGAGCTCTGGATGATATCGTCAACTTTCAGACTTTTGGTAGAAGTATGCAGCTTCTTTTTCGGTAAGAAACATATTGGTACAATGAGTAGTAGTTAAAGGCTATAGAATATAATCTAAGATTGTCTTCGAAGGTATGAAGTATTGCTACATAATTTCTTTGACAAATATGGCAGGTTAAGTCATTTTTTTTAAATATTAAGTAATTTAATTTGTTTATTTTAGTCTAATGACATCAGCTGGTTGGAACGACGTTCTAGAGTCTTTGATGATTCAACCTCCTGATTGCGAGCTGGGAGATCATGGCCACTCGAATGGAAATTGTGGGAGTCCGTTGCTAGCTATAACGTACTTTACTTCCTTCATCATTATTAGTTATATGATTGTTATAAACATGTACATAGCCATCATCCTAGAAAACTTCAATCAAGCTCATCAAGAAGAAGAAATTGGTATAGTTGAGGACGATTTAGAAATGTTTTATATAAGATGGTCTAAGTAAGTGAAGTTTTTACAAGACTCCTTTAATATAATTCTATTTTGAACATATTTATTCAATTTATTTCATCTTTCAGATATGACCCACATGCTACGCAATTTATAAGTTTCGCTCAACTATCAGATTTCATTGCTTCTTTAGATCCTCCGTTAGGAATACCTAAGCCAAATACAGTAGCTCTCGTAAGCTTTAACCTACCAATTGCCAGAGGTAACAAAATTCACTGCTTAGACATATTACATGCACTAGTAAAACATGTTTTGGGTCATGTGGAAGAAACGGATACGTTTAGACAATTACAAGAACAAATGGATATTAAGTTTAAGAAACAATTCCCTACAAGAAAGGAATTAGAAATTGTTTCGTCCACAAGAATTTGGAAGAGGGAGGATAAAGCGGCAAGGACGATACAGCGAGCATTTAGGGAATACATAAAGTAAGTCTTTTCAATTGTTTAGACAAATTTCTATTCATTAAAATAGTCACATTACAAATTCAAGTTTGCGAGTGCGTGTGTAGATTTAGTACCTACTCGTTAGCCTGGGAGCTTCTTGTTAAAGGAACATTGACATATAGATTAAAATAACAAAAAAAAACCTGTAAGATAAACCTACAAACTATGTTATAAAATATAATTGATTTATATTTTAAGGCGAAAGAACCGCAGTCCTTCACAAGAAGAAGAAAGTACAAAGTGGTCGCCGGGCCACGGATGGGGTGGTAAGCTTAGTGCACTCTTGCACGTTCGGAGAGGATCTCACGCTTCAAGCAGGAAGTCTTCTAGAGCTTCCGATGCTTCTGATTTGAGCGATGTTGGTGGTGCCTGGCTCAACTTACCCCTTTTATTACTACCAGGGGCGGGTCCCAGTGATATGGTTCGTACATTACTTACGATAATCGTGTTCTTTGAAAAATATATCGGACGTTTTAAACAGTCACTTTCGCAAATTTTTTTAAACAACTCTTGGATATGTATAATAATGAATGACAATAATAATAATAATCGTGAATTAATTTTTGTATTACTTCGTTTTTTGTATGTTTTCAATGAAGAACTAATCTTACTTGTCACTTAGCTAGTATAATCAGTAATCTTTGTTGTATAGGTTCCCAGTTCTGACACAGCTCCTCCGCGCAGACGGTCAGCTTATGGTTTGCCACTGTTTCTTCGTCACCAGGATGCCGTTGATGAAGACAGCGGCATGAAACGCGCAGGTTCATATGTAATGTTATGCTTTCTGTGTCTTTTCCTCTATTAGATTGCATTGGAGCAAATACGTTCTGAATTATTATTATAATTATTAATATATTTTTGGATCACATTTAAGCAATAAATAAGCGATAATTTTTAATCAATCATTCTTATAATGTCAATGATTCAACATTTACTTCAAAAACAAATAATCAAGCTACAATAAATACAAATAATAATTCAGTACGAAGCTTAAACACCTACCTACCTAACTTAATTTTGAAATACTAAGTGTCACAAAGCCTAAACCTATGTCCAACATCGATTCCGATATCAATGTATTTATTTTAAATAAGATTTAAATAAATGTTTTGCCGCTATTTGTTATAACAGTGTCCTGGACGTGTTCGTTTTCAGAATTTCAGGTTTGAAATAAAAGCTTATGCATGCCAGCTAGACATTTTTTAATAGTATTTATGTTTCCTTAACGCCTTTACTCTTCTGCTTGAGGCATCCTTTTGCTTAGGACCTATTATAATGGACCTACGCATGTCTGTATATCTGCTAATATATTTAGATCCATTAGATAGGTACGTAAACCTAAACTTGTTGTGTACGTAAACCAAAATTGTTATAAGGTATTGTTAAAAAGTATAAACTATTCTTTATCTTTATCGTACAACTTGTGTAAATCTATTACAGCTTTACTTGAAACTTCCAGTCTTTTGTAGGTACTAAATACAGAATAAGCATTGACTCTTACATTATCATTTATATCGTTGAATCAAACTTACAATCGAGGTAGTTAAAGTAGCTGTTGATTATAGTGTGATATATATAAAATGTATATAGAACTTAGCGAATATTCTGTAATAGGTTCACTTCGTTTAACTCCACGGAGGAGCTCAGCTCGAAGGCCTACTCCTCCCGCCAGAGCGAGTACTCCGTCTCCTCACGCTAGTAGTGCTGTCAGCATCCTAGTTACTGAGGCTTCCCCTGACGCTGCTCCTCCACCAGCAGCGCCGCCAACTGTAGTCAGGGTCCTGGTCCACAGGGAGAGTGACGAACAACCCAGCTGATCTACACCAAACGAGCCCAACGGCTCCGACTAGTCAAACTGATGAGTGAGTGTCAAAGATCGTATGTGTTCACGCACGAACAGTGATATTAAACGTTTATAATGTGATTTTAACTCTTAGCTCAATATTAAAACGAATAGTATATCGACCGGTGACTTCCAAACGCAATAAGTCAAATTTGATAAAAACGTATTCACACGACAGACTACAGCTAGCTGTTTTTAAAATTTTAGATACGCTTGTTTAGGAACGCCGAATCGTTAGCTGTTTTTTACTTATAGATGTTTAAGTAACCTCGTTAGTATAGATTTTAAAGTTTGTATATTTACTTTGTTATGTAAATAATTTCAGCTAGCGACTGAACGACATGTGCCGGGTGTATTAAAAAAAATGTAATAACTTTTACACAATCGAAGCACATTTTGCAACTTACTCAAAGTTATCAAATTGAATTATTAGACATTTAGTCTATTCATATACCTATATAATATTATGAAATAAAAGACAAACAAATAGACAATTATTCATAAAAATAGTTTTAACTTCACTGATCCTGAACTCTCCTTAACCTATTTTAACCGAGTTACGTATGCTATAAAAATTGTTATTTATAAGAAATAATTAGTCAATAATCGATCCGCACAAATATATTTAATTCAATTTTAGAAACATTAATACGAGACAATAGTTCGACATAGACTAAAAGAATTATAGACCAAATTATGTAAATTAATGCAATTACTTGTCTGTTTCTCCTTAGATGACTAGAACAGAATGCATGCATCGTTTCGTTAACTTGTGCTAGATTTACGTCTAATTCAATTATATTTTACTTTTTTGATAAGTATTTAATGGTTGTATTAAGTGTACTGTTACATTTAAAGATCAACAAGATAACTATTAATATTTATATACTATATGTCTGTATCTCAAAATCATTTATAATCACTTTATACGATTTCATTGAAACAAATATAGAACTCATGTATAAAAATATGTACGATTCAAGTTTCAATTGTAACAATTTTATTTTCTATGTCAACTGTCAAGTTATGAATTGTCAGTTAACTGTCAGATCAGAGAACATTCGACTTGCCATTTCAATTTTCACTTCTAAAACTAGACGAAAGTTAAAACATAATATAGTTATTGTTTCTCTATAGAACTTCACACAGCAAGTTTTATATTATTTTAGCATGTTCGCCCGTCCATAAAGTATTGTTAAATTATTTTAAGCCAAAAGTCTAAAAGAATTGAAAAAGTTACATACAATTGATATGTTTAAAAATAAAATTGCAATTTAAAATTATAGAACTGTAGATTTAAATATCAAAAATATACATGTATAATTTTATTATGTTCATTTATGTAAGTAATTAATGAATCCGAACTATAGACCAAATCATTTCATATACCATTTATAAGTTATTATTTGTAGGTAAAATATAATGAAAACTTTTTTAAAATTATTAATGTTACATTTTTAACCCCCTACACTTTCTAAAATGAATATTGGTACCACTGTGCTTTTACAATATATACACCACAGCTTTCAAACTTAAAGTAGCATTTAAACAGAATAAATCAAATATTAATATAAAAAACGATGTTATAAACTTTTTAATCGCCTAGGCGTTTATTAATTATTGTTCTATCTTGTAAATACGTAGTTAAAAACAATGCAATAATTTTTCATAATTTTACGTAGTTAAATATAGATTATAATTTAAAAATAATTTATGAAGTATGATGTACATTTTTGTCTATGGCAACTTAATAAAGACCATAGACAATATAATCATCGTTCCATAATCCATAATCCATAATCGTTTGAAATGTGTAACATATTGAATTGTATTATATGTAAATAAAGATTTTAAGTGAGACCTGCGAAATATAATTTTCTTCCGAGGAACAATATATAAATTAACCATGTTGAAAACTATGATTAAAAAAAATATTGAGTATTTATTGTTTTATTTTTTACCTAATCATTTTATACTTTAATAAAATGTTTAATATTGAATAAATAGTTATATTTATAGTGATACACAATTTATTGAATTTATTCAAAGCATTCTATAATTAAAAAAATTGCAACTGCAATTTAATGAAAGGACTAAAATTTTTAATAACAAACAATCAATTAAAATCTTTAATAACAAACTACGAAGTACATTATCTACATCATATAATTTCACTTAGTAGATACTCGTGTACGGCGATTCCAGGAGAAGTTAATTCCATAGCTTTTCGGTTTGAATTCCTTTTCAAGTTTGGGAGCATCGATGTACCACACCCAACCATTTTTCTCACAATGCTGTATGGCTTCGTCGGGGGAAGTGAATTGCAATTTCAAGTTGGAGTGAGGATCGCCAGTTGATGTCCAGCCCATGAGAGGGTTCTCCCAACGCTGGCGATTATCAAATTCCATTTCCCAATGATGAGTGTTGTTGGTGCCGCTCTGCATCGCGTTCTTTGGTGGCTGATAGATTCTAACTCTGCGAGTACGTACATGCTCCTCTGGTATTCCAGTTATTGGTGTAATGTCAACCTGGAAAACATATATTGTGTTGTGAAAAATCAAGTATACAGGGTGACTGGTGAATTACTATCAATATTTAAGGAGCATACTCGGTACATGATTCTCATTCGAATTATGTAAAAAAAATAGGTACTTAATTTTTGACCAAATTTCCGTATAAATAAATAAAGTGTGTACACGTTCCAAGTGTTCCAAGTGTGGACGTGTGCGGCGGCGTGCTGATAGAACACTACGCCGCCGCCGCGTCTGTGTGAGTGTGTATGTATACCTAATCTGTAGGGTGTTCATACGATGCGTAATTAATTACATAACTTTTGGTTAACTTTACTTAGAAGTTTATTAATATTTATGTTATATTAATTTTTATTTTGTCATATATGATCGTCAAATATCACGTCCTCAAATATCGATAGTAATTCACCAGTCACCCTGTATATATATTCGTCCAAGATGATCATTTATAATGTAACTAATTAAATCATTAAAGTAAGTATAAAAATACGAAAAAAAGTGACGTGTGTCGTGTACAAAGTTATGGTTAGTTAGTAGGTATCTTCTGTTTACATATTTTTTCTTCAATATCGTTAATAACATCAAGAATAGATGTCACTTCTTTAAAATAACCAATTTATTGAGGACGTCAGAATGCTTATCATAGGTTTGCTTCGTTCAATTACAAATTGTTCCTGTGTGTCATTAACTTGACTTGACTGTAGCAAAGTAAATAAATTACATATCAAATATAATAATGAAAACTTTTTAATTAATATTGTATAAAATAGTTGCTAAAATGTGCATAATTCTGATTAGAGAGAATACAGCAAAATTTTAAATTACTGCACACTTATACAAAAAAGATATTTTTTGTACCATTTCTCAATTAATATATACTACATATAAAACTCTAATGTCATTACAGATGTGGCATTTATGATAATAAATGTAAATAAAATGTTATATATTATATGAAGATCATATTTCAGGAAAGTTCTTAACCAGGTACAAAGTATCCCCCTACATATTAAACTGTCATTAAGTAAATCCAAACTCCCTGATTTGTCTCCCCTACTATAAGCATTTAAAAATAAAAATACATAACACTGGCAAAATGATTGTATTGCCATATTATAAACAACAATAATCATTGTTGTTGCAAGAAACATTTATAATACTGTAATTAAGTCATTTATTTATTAAGTTATATTAACAGTTTTGAATTTTAATGAAGATTTTTTTTTTAATATTTTAAAGTAATTATTAGTAATGAAATGTAATAAATTGTTTTCAATATATATTTTCTTATCTAAACTCCAGATTAGAATCTTAAGTTATAAGTGGCATGCAAAAATATACGAATAATAATTTAACCACCTTTTAAAGATTTTTGTGTTATTTCATGTTTTTATACACCCAATAGTTCTAATATAATTTTGCAAAGCATGTTATGCCATGCCAAAAAAATCAATCTTTTTTTTTTTGTGTTACAAGGACAAAAATTAAAACTGATGAAACACCTCACTTATCAATCTAGTAATAGCCTATAGCCTAGCTCTTGTAACTTCTACATTAAATCCTATTTAAAATAATACTTGTTTCTATGACAATAATGACTTGTACCCATACTTACAATTATATGTCATCAAAAACTTACATTAAATCTTTCAACACTTTATACTTTAGCTGTATTAAAGAAATTAGTAAGTACTTATAAAGTATAGGTACAAGTAGTTTATAAGTACTTATTTTATCTTATTTGCAATATTTTATCTTATTTGCAATATTGTTTGATTCTAATATCTAAGATTTTTTATGTAGTCACTTAATCTGTCTGTAGTCTGTAAGTCTGATTTTTATAATATACTCCATGTTTCTAATTATTTTTAAAACAATGTAACTTTGCAGCAACAGTGGTCATCAAACACTAACAAAAATATTAGATATCATTATTAATCTGTTAAAACTAATTTTATTCTATTTAAAATATATATACAGTAGAAACTCGACTATCCGGCCCTCAGTTATACAGATTCGCGATTATCCGGACTACGGACAAGTCCCGACAAGAAAAAATGTCAAAGCGTAAGAGAGTGGTGTTGTTGAAAGTGGCGTATGTCAAATGACAATTACCAAATATTGTATACCAAATGAAATTTATTATTTTAGTTCAAGATTACCAATTGCAAATTACCAAATACATATTGTAATTTATTTTTTAAATAAACATTAATATTGTGAACTACATAAGCACAAAACCAGCTTTTCTTCATACATTTCATTATATGCATTCCTATCGACAACAATTAGTCCAGTGAATAGAGTTTCTACTGTATCTTATTTTTTCATCAACTGTCACCATTATTTATTATAAAGATTTGAAATATATATAATAAAAATATTTTTTATATTGAAATACAAATACCTAATTTTTTCTTTACATGTTAGTAAAATCGCAAAAGGAGATTAAAAATTATATAGTTTCATATTAATTCATTAAAGTCAATGACAAATATCAACACCATTTTTGATCATTGGTTGTTTTAACAGAGACTTTACACTTTATTCCAAAAATAAATATAGACTTCATATAAATTGTTTATAGCAATGCTTATTGAGTATTAAGGCATAAAGAGGCCTTTTAATCACATAAATTATTAACCATAACATACCTGAACAGGGACATTGATGCTGGCGGCTTGGACTTCCTTCTGCCTCACTTGGTGGGGAAGAGCTAGTACAGATTCGTTGTCTAGAATAGGAGCCTCCTTACGATTCGCAGGATCATCAGATTGTCTTGCTGAACTTGTTGAAAATGACAGCAAAGATCTGATGTGAGAAAGCAAGAGTTAATTATATTTACAAAAGTAAAAACAGATTTAAAGACATAAGTGTCGTAACAGTTTTGGAATTTACGAGAGTCACCCACCGGCTAACATTAGACCTAGTCAGCCTGCCCGCAGTATTAATAACTTGCAGCATATTGGCGAATATGAATTAGGCGTATCAGAATTTATGTTTTCTTTTACACGATTACCCAACCAACATCTGATTCTGATCTTTGACAATTCCAAAAATGACATATGGATTATGGTGTATGCACATAGGTAATATTAAATATAAATCTAATTAGAGAGTCAGAATTTTAATAAAGACAATTTTTGATATTAGTTTTTTGAATGAGTTACTTTGATTTTAAAATGCTCTTCATTTAAGTATATTATTTAAAAAGTTTAAACATTTTTTCTTGACTAGTTGAAAAAAATTACCAACAAAACGTTTTACGTTTGAATCGTTACTTTTAAAAATGAAAATGCACATAAATATAAAATATAATTCCAAAATGTATTGTTGTATATTTTATATAATATACAAATTTATATACATAAGTGAGCGTTAGTAACTAGTATTTTTGATGTTAAATATGTTGTAATATAGTGTGTGGTATATTTGATTTTAAAATACTTTTATACATTAAACTAGGTTTAAAAAAAATTAAAATTATTTTTATTTCAAATATTTATTACCAAAAATTAAAAAATTTGGAACTTCTCTATACGACCAATAGATTAATGACAAAACCTACTTATACGTCTAATGAGTAGTAACTCTAACGTCATAATTGACAAATTTTGATTTTTTGTCAAGGTGATCTTATCTAAATAGCTAGTATAAAATTTTTAAAAATAAACTTAGAAAGTTAATGAGCTAACAAAAGTTGTTTCTAACGTCTTATGTTCTTAATTCTGTGCTCAAAGACGTAAATTATGTTATCCAGAAGGACCTCCGAGATAAACAAACGTCGTGCAGCTGTCTTCTTGTAAAGGTATTTTCGATATCGATAATTTATACTAAAATTATTCAACTAAGTATTGTGTAAAAATATGAAACTGTCATAATTTATTCCGTTACTAGACGCCGGTACCGCTAATAGCAAATTAATTCGTCTTTCTTATTCATTCGATCGCCGGTTTACAGCGGTATAAGGATAAGACTATGTCAAAATTATTCGCAATAATATCTAAATTTATGCAATCCTCCAAACAACAGTATCCCTGTCGATTGCAATTAGATTTTTTGAAAAATTCTTAATTACGAGTCATGTACAGGATATTTATTTTAATGCATGTCAATGGAAAAAAAATTATTTAAAAGACACTGACAAAATACTTTTTCAGAAACATCTACTTTTTTATTTATATCTGCTATGTATTCCTTATATTTATAATAATATTAAGTGTAGTGTGTGTTGAGTGCAGTTTCAAAAATATTATGCAATACTATAAAAACACGACATAATAACGTAAATATATTTTTTGATTTCAGATGGTTATTCTTACAATTATGTTTTAATCATAGAGGTCCTCTAGAGAGGTCTGGCTCGGCCAGCCTCATCTATTAGCTAGAATATCTACTTTCGCCATATCTATTCTGTACCTGAAATATTTTTCACCATATCTTATTTAATCATCATAAATATATAAGAAGTAATCGCAAAGATGAGTAAAAATCCAGAGGTTGATTGTATGAGAAACTGTAAGTCTAAATTCCATGGACAACTACTGACAAGCGCTATAACAAAACGATCTGTGAATGACGAGTCTCTTGCTAGCTTTATAAAAAGCATATGCGCTAACTTTTCCAAAGCCTTCGATTTTGAGGTAAGTTTTTATGTGTAGAGAAACATTCTAAAAGGTTATACCTATATATGTCTTATTAGAAAAAAAGAGAGAGAAATAATAATTGAGAGAAAAATAATAATAAAAATGCTATAGAAGGTTAAATTAAATAACATATGTTGGCTTTAATATGTTAATTTAGGTATTGTTGTAACTCTCAACAATTGATCAGAAAAAAATATATAGACATTCCAATATGAATCTTGAGATTATTTTGTTCCTTTTGCATTGGCCCCAAAAATGTTGTATAAACTTTGAAATGATAATGGGACAGACAAACTGTGAATGCTTCTCTATCCAGGGTGACTGGTGAATTACTATCAATATTTAAGGAGAATACTCGGTACATGATTCTCATTCGAATTATGTAAAAAAAAAATAGATACTTAATTTTTTACCATATTTCCGTATAAATAAATAAAGTGTGGACACGTTCCAAGTGTTCCAAGTGTGGACGCGTGCGGCGGCGTGCTGATACAACACCACGCCGCCGCACGCGTGTGTGTGTGTGTGTGTATACCTAATCTGTAGGGTGTTCACACGATGCGTAATTAATTACATAACTTTCGGTTAACTTTACTTAGAAGTTTATTAATATTTATGTTATATTAATTTTTATTTTGTCATATATGATCGTCAAATATCACGTCCTCAAGTATCTATAGTAATTCACCAGTCACCCTGTATATTATATTGAAACTTAAAGATGTCTTTTGGTATTAATATATTTATAAACAATTTCCAGGGCCGTACTGCTTTGCATATGACGGTTTCAAGGGGGAGAAATGTATTGATGGAATGGTTGATACGTCATTCCTCGGATGCCTTCATTAATGCTCGTGATCGTGAATCTGGCTATACACCATTACATAGAAGTATCTTCTATGGACAAATACACACTGCTGTTGCGCTTATGAAGCTTGGTAATGATAATTATATTTATTATGAGCTGTTTTATGTTCATGCATTTCTTTTTTTAATGTTTTTTTCATATATATAGATATAAATATTTTATGTTTTGCATATATGTATAATCTATTGTTACATGGATTAACACTTGTTTTTAACATTAAATACACGAGTATATATTGATGATGTAATTTAAAAATTTTACTTCTGAATTACTATTGGATATGAAACTAATATTTTTCGGAAGTACATAGTTTTTTATCAAAAATAAAGTGTAGTGCATCCGAAAAATATTACTTACATTTAAATACTTTTGGAAATTATAGATTTTTACTGAATTGATATTTATTACCAGGTGTGAACACTGATATATTGGACAAAGATGATTTCAAAGCAATAGATCATGCTATGTTAGACAAGCAGTACATGACGAAGCTGTCTCCCTCAATGCCCTGCGATGTGTACGTTTGGGGAAGCAATTCAAACTATACCCTGGGAACTGGTTCTCAACAGCCAAGACGTATACCCGAATTACTTACACATTTTAGTCGCACTAATGCTGATATTCAAAAGGTAATATACATACAGTTTTTTAACCAATTCTTTACCTCTTAATTTTTTTTACATAAACCAAACATATAATTTATATATAATATTTTTTAATATTTAATTGATTTTTGTACATAATTATTTGGTACAATTGTATTGTTATACTTTCCTTACCAAATCTATCTCTTCTACTGTTCATTTGCTGAACATATACCTTCTCTAATTTGTTTTATATTTGCATATTAAAGTAAAAGTAGTACTAAAGTAAAAGTAATTCTTGTAAAAAACTCCTTTAAAGAGTTTTACTAATTTTTAAAAGTCATAACTGTCATTGTCAAAAAAAGTATTAAACGTCACCCTTTATTGTTTTTATATTTGTATTAATAATATACAATGCATACAATTGGCTTACCCAGAACCTGTTTAGGATTCACAAATATACTTTTCTTTTTATTCGGCGTCGTTACTTTCGCTGTTTGTGTGTGGTGCGTCATCAATACGGATTTTTTCCGGGAAGTTAACTACACTGTCACCAAGAGTTCTTTAGTGTCGGTGGTTGCGAATTTCGTTAACTTGAAATTATGGTTCACTCCCCTAACCTCGATCCTTATACCGATATCTTTATTGACAATATTCACGTCCTGCTGTGGCATATTCGGAGCTGGTTGTAAAATGAAATGTGCCATAAAATCATACATTTTTTTGGTCAGCGCCATATCTCTGACGGTCTTCTGGCTCATATTTGTATCATTTATCTATAATGTTTATACGAACAATGAGAGAACTCGTAACTTCATGCGTTCGACTATCGTCAGCAACTATGGCAAAGAAAACGATCTCATCACAAACACATGGAATTATATAATGGTTACGTACGAGTGTTGTGGTGTGGTCGATTACAGAGATTTTTTGGATTCCAAATGGCAGAAAACTAATCTAGACAAACTATATCCCGTACAATGTTGCAAACTGCTGAATAAGACTAGCCTAGAACCTCTATACAAAGATTGTGCCACGAATCACGATCGCGATGAAGATACTAACAAAAATGTTGGTTGTTTCAAGGCCCTCAAAATAGCAATATCTGCTAACAAGGGAAAGATTGTCTTCTATATTCTCCTGTTTGCTGTGGCCTATTCAGTATTGATCCTTTTTGCATATTGCATTATTCGCGGCGAACCTCTGCTAGCCGCTGTAGCGGGAAACCTAGCTTCAATACTACCGAACCGCAAAGAAGTTAATGCTAAAGTAGTACCCTCAAATTCCTCTTTGGATAATATGATGTTCGTAGAAGAACCCCCAAAGAAAGTGGTTAAAGTTGTGTCTACGATGAATCCCTTTCAAACTTATAAATTTAGCCCAAATAGCTACAACACGATGGAATCAAATTATCCCAAAAGCGTCAGATCTCAAATAAAATAAAATAAAAAAACGATCACGTGTTTTATTTTTATGACCCTGGTATAAGTTAAACGAATCTTGTCACCAAAAAAACATCCTATTAATACGTTTTAAAAATCTAAGAGCAATCCTTCCATCCGATATTATTACCTAAGTGGGGTCTACTTCCAGATATACACGTACTCTATTCCTAATCAAAAGCCTCTGTGTTCTTTGTAGGTATGTTTAGGCAAATTCCATAGTGTATTCCTCAGCGGGGGTGAAGTGTGGTGTGCGGGGCAGCCGGCGCGGGCGGGGGGACCTCACTCCACCGCCTTACGACCTATACCACTCAGACTTGCGGAAACCTGCGTGGGTATGGCTATTACGTTGACCTCCACTATCTTCCTCCTACAAAGTGGAGTGGTGAGTAGATTTGTTATTTTTGCAGTATTATTCTTCTATATGGATATATTGTCTAAACCGCAAATAATCTCATCTTACATTTTTGATCTCATCACTTTGTATTAAGAAAGTTAGGAAGGTTACTATTGAAAACATAATTTTACCCAGTAGGGTTTTTGAGACTGATGTTTTTTATATAGAGCGAAATATTTACAGGTGATCCAATACTCGTTGAACAACACAGAAAATCCAAGTCCATCAACAGTTAAGAGCCCATCGGTTATCAAATTGGCGAACGTGAAACCGGTTTTGAAGATATCTCATCCTCTGGGTGTTTGCGCGGGACGATCTCATGCGGTGGCGTGGAACGAACACGCGGTCTACACCTGGGGATTGAACCTTGGACAGCTGGGACACGCGCAGGACAAAGTTGTCCCCTTACCTAAAAGGGTATATTGATATCTTTAGCTATTTTAGTATGGACATGAAATTTTAAAACACTTATAAAAACAGAACACTGTATGTTCGAAATTTATTCGTATATATTTGTACTTTAAATTAAGAAGGTTCATACATATTTTTATGATACTTGAATTCTATTTGTTAGCGTTTAATGAGTAACAAATATATTTCCAGGTAGCGATATCATTGAATAACAAGGAGGACGCGAAGTTTCAGTTTGTTGATGCTTCCGACGCAGCCACGGTCATTTCCACGAGTATGGGAGACGTTTATCTCTTGCATAAAAATATTTGCAAGAAAATTGCCATCAAGTATGTTGAATTATTTTCCACTACCATAAATATTCGAACTTGACACATATATAGAGTTTAATAAAATCTAGTCTAATAAGAAATTTTAGTTTTTTTGTTATTTATTGTAATTAAAATGTTTTTTATTGCTACAGACAGATCAATCTACGTCAAATATGTGTTGAGGCGAAAGTGAGTGATCAAGGTGTATATTCACGTGTCACTGTCTTACTTCTCACAAACGTTGGACAACTCATGATCTGGCAGGACACTACAAACACATTGACCAGGTACTTCATATATTTAAAATACATATATATTTTTTTGTGTTATATAAAAAAACAACCACATAACTGATTCAAAAGTTATACTCGAAATATTTTTACGTACTTTATATGTGTTATTGAATTGTTATTTTGAATTATTAAAATTGTATTTATGATGAACAGAGAAGTTTCTTGTTGTTGATTGTAAGTAGTTTTGTTAAGATATTTAAACGCGCATAGACTTTTAATAACTTAAACGCTGCCATAGTAATCGCTTGACCCTAGTTTCTGTAGTATTAATTAAATAAAAATAGATTTAAATACATGTTTAGAAAATTTTGCTAATACTTAATATTCTTATATAATTGTAAATTTTTTCTACAAATACATATATGTTTGTAATATTTGTGGGACAAATAAGAAGACATTTTCGTAGTCGCTTATATTCAATTTTTTATTTTCTAATTTCTATCTAAACATTTTCAGATGTGTCTTCGGTCTTAGTCATCAAACTACTATAACTCATGTTGCACTAACCCACGACGCTCTCTACTTCACAACCAAACATGGCGAAGCGTTTGTGGGTTATATATCGAGAAAGACCACGCCCCCTCCCGCTCAACCAATCAAAAAAGAAAGGGACAGAGACAACAAATCAGCTCTTGTGAAGTTTTTAGAAAAGGACGACTGTACATCTGTTAGGATATCCAAGATACCGAACATTCATCGCGCTATAGGAATATCGGTGGACAGCGAGGGACTTAATTTAGCCTGTCTTCAGGTATATATATATCTCGGTTTAGGTCTTGTCTTACAAATATTATCGTAAACCTTGTATTTATATTTCTAATATGGGTGAAAATTTTATTTCTCGATATTCTATCAGTGATCGAAAATACTTCAAACTTTATTTAAGTCTTTAGTCTATTACTCTTATTATACAACTTAAAAACATGTTCATGGCAGCCCTAGTAGGGCTTCTTTTCAAATTTGGTTTGGTAGAGAGAGGAGCTTGGACAGTTGAGATGAGCGTTTAACGCGTTAGATAGGGGCCTAAAACCTACACCAGGGTCGCAAGTCCCAGTCACTGTTGAAGCTCCTCTCCCTACAACGATGGACCCGACACCCGCAGAGTGAATCCATAGAATGCTAAGAGGTTTCGTCTCTATTCTCTAATATTTATTACTGTGCTTTTCACAATATTACCAAAGAGTATTTTATTGTGGAAAAATTCTCAGTATAATAAAACTTCTCAGGCAAAACCATCCTGTGGCCTTACTTCCATCCCGGATCTATCTCCAACGAGTTTGACCAAGCATATGGAGACCCTTATAGAAACAGCAGCCGAAGACGACATCCTACATGACGTTGTGTTTAAGGTACAAAAAACTACATATTAATAAATTATTTTATTGATCTGGCAACACTGAGTCGAAAATAAATAATATACATATAAATATTCACTGACGAAGAAACTATTAATTCCATATAAACTTGTCAGTAAGGTAATTTTTATTTGAAATTATTTAATGTGATTTGAATGTAAAGTATTTTATTGATATTGATACTAATATAATATATAACTTCAATTCAAGGTCGGCCATAAATCCTACCCAGCTCATCTATATATAGTAGCTTCAAGCAGCGAATATCTCTACAAGCAATGTACCAACGGTGTTATAACCTTGGATGTGCATCCAGAGGTGTTCGAACGAGTATTACAGTACATATACACGGGGTCGTGTGACGTCACAAGGTTGGGGGTTTGTGGGTTGAGGCTGAAGCGAGAGGAACTAGTTAAGAAAGAAAACTTGGAGGAAGATGTTATTGGTAAGTTGAAAAAGTTTAGAACTTACTATAGGACATAAGCTTGTTTTGCTGACGGTACCGACATATATATCTTCTATAATATATGGCTCTTTGTGTTTTTTTTTGTTGACGGTAATGTCAGTAATGTACTGATTTGTGGATGTATTGAATTTTTTGAAGATGAAATTGAATATGTTATTGCAATTCAAATGGATAACTTGGCAGTAAAAATTCATTGATATCAGTGAGATCTTAACTTACCACTTAAGGATTATAGTGTTACTTCATAAATATAATGATTAAAATAGCTATCCTTATAATTTAATATAATTTAATTAATCACGTAAAGGGAAAGCCATATTCTTAATTCTAGTTGAATTTTAATTCATGTTTGAGCTCAATATTACCTTAATGTTAAATATATTGTATGACTTTGCATAAGACTTGTCCTTTCGAGGTTATGTGATATGATTTGAAATGAATTTGGAGGAATAGCTGATGGTCATTTCTAAAAAATATAAAGAAGGGAACAGTCATTTAAATGTCTTAAAACCTGTATTTGTACATGTATTTTCAAAATTTAATTTATATTTCATAAAAAATATTTACCTTACAGAAAATCCAGCAGAAATATCAGCGTTTGAAGTATACAAGAACCAAGAGAAAAGAAAAGGCAATCGTCGCAAAAACACAGAAGTTTCTAGAGTTCATGTCTACTGTGATCCTGTTAAATTAGTTCAAGCGACGGCAAAGAGACTTCAAGTCATGGGACTACATAAACTGCTTGACAAGTTTTAGTAAGAATATTGCCATTTTCTTACTGTTATATATAAACACTATCTGCGCCCCGCGGTGTTACCCGCGGATTTCCGGGATGTAAAGCAGCCTATGTGTTATTCTTGGACCTCAGCTTCCTGTATACACAATTTTATCAAAATCGGTTCAGCCGTTTGAGCGTGAAGAAGTAACAAACATACACTCACAAACTTTCGCAATTATAATATTAGTAGGATATATATTACATTTAACCTTTGAGTATGATCGATTGGTTACCAAAACTTAAATTTTTTTCGTTTTTTTGTTTTTATAATAAGTATAGAATTCATGCATTTTATCAAGTTTCATTCAATTAATTCTATTGTGTTCAAAAATCTCCCAGCCGATGGATAGCACTTGACGGTTTCAAAAATATATTAATAATTAACTTATAGCTATTCCAAGATCTATGTTTGTAAGATAAAATGAAACTTATATAAAAATATCGCTGCCCGTGATCACGGTTGCTGCAAAGTAACCGAAACGTCAGGAAAATGTTGCTTTAAAAATAGTAAAATAACGAATAGTAATCCAAAAAATTTGTTTCATTTAAACGATTACTCGCAAACGTCTTTGCAACCATTGTGTAATACTGATATGTTGTTTTTTCTAGTTATAAAGAAGGTTCAATCCATCTAAAAGATTCGGCAACCTTCACAAAGACTCCTCTTACATGGGACAGAGAGAGCTACCCTGATCTTGTCGACACTCAAGTTTGTTCCAAAGACGGTATACTTATACCGGCTCACAAGTGCGTTTTGGCAGCCCGACTGGAATATTTCCAGGGAATGTTTATGCATTCCTGGACAGAGGTATATTACTAATTAATATTGTGTTGTTTAATAAACAAAAAATTAAGTTGGTCACCTATAACTAGGTTAGTTAAGCTGAGAAAAATTAGTTTCGGATTGGCCATTATTATAAATTTTCTTACCTTTTTTTAATAACGTGATATTAGGGATAGTTTCTCAACGATATTGACAGTATATCATAAATAGTATCAAAATTTATTACATTACTAGCTTTCCGCCCGCAGCTTCGCCCGCGTGGAGTTCGGTTATATCGCGTTTCCAATAGAACCTTTCTTTGATAAGAACATATATAGAACTAAAGAAAAGTCTTTGATAAGAACTATCCTGTTCTTTCTCAAGGTCAACTCTATATCTGTACCAAATTACATTAAAATCAGTTCAGTGGTTTAGGCGTGAAAGCGTAACAGACAGACAGACAGAGTTACTTTCGCATTTATAATATTAGTAGGGATTCTCCTAAATTCTATCTATTTGTGACTAATTGTATTTGCCTTTATATTTTCGAACGTTTTCCATTATTTTGTAATATTAACTGTCTTATTTCTATTACAGAGTACACTCCTGTCGAAGGTGACACTGCCCATCAATCATAATATTTTGTTGCCCGTTATCGATTTCTTATATACCGACAAATGCCCTGAAGTCGAAAATTCTGACAGTATAGACTTCATCTGCAGCATGCTTATTGTGTCAGATCAACTGTTTATTAGTCGGTTGAGAGAAATGTGTGAGATCGCTCTCTCTAATCTTATAACATTGAAAAATTGCACCGAATTGTGTCAATTCGCTCACACGTATAACGCGTCCCAACTAAAGAAATGTTGTATGGAATTTATATGTCTCAATATATGTAGTATACTAGAGAATAGGGCCTTGGATCTATTGGAAGAAGCATTGCTGATGGACATCACTAAATATTATTGCAAATTTAATCCCATCATGTCTTCGCGAGTCATAACACCATTTTATAACGCTCCAAGCGATGAATTAGTTGAAAAATGCTTTAAGAATTATCCCATAGATTTGGATTATGTTGATGAGGATGTAAAAAGGGATGATAGCTTGGAAGTGAATAAAAAGAAAAAACAAAAGAAGATTGACTACACAGATAATGAAAAGGCGAGAAAGAGATACGAATCTGTGAGTTCCGTGTCTTCGTTGGATTTATCCCACGATACATCCGGCGATGTTACATTATCACTGAGTTCGATCTCCAAAGAAACAGAGAAAAAATATCAAAATGCTGATAAATGGACAGAAGTGCCAACAACCCAACAAAAACAGCAGAAATTGGTCCAAGCACGTTTAAAAGCAATATCTGCTGCAAAGGAAATTCTCAATGAAACACCAAACAGCTCATTCACTAAGTTGACTAAAACTAATTCTTCTACAGTCGTATCACAAGATACATTGATTCCAACTACATCTCGTATGTCTGTCTCTCCCAAAGAGTCGCCAGAACCATGTTGGGGCCAAGGAAACCTCATAATAAGTCACGTTGGTCCAAAATTATCTCAAAAACAAAGAAAGAAGTTGGCTTTAGAAAATGATCAACCAGCCCAAACTCTTGACAACTACTTAGCTAACAAATTAAATATCGGAAGTCCTCCCGACAAACCAAAAAACCCTTGGAAGATATGTGACCCACCAGTCGCTACCAGCAGTCCAAACAAAGCAAACTCGTTGGAATTCAATAAAATTCTTGCTGATCAAAAGAAACAAAAAGATGACTCCTCAAGAATTATGACAAAACCTTTGACTCTTACACAGGTCTGATTTCCCTAAAAATATTATTAAAAGTACCTTTAATTATGTTCCTTGTACTTTAAACTTCTACAAACTATCACTTCTAGAGTAAACCCCCATTTTTATTTAATCTAGACAATTACTTTATTTATTATATTTATATAGTATATAATAATTAATATTTAAATCTAACAAATTTAAATATTATTAATAGATATAAAAATTAGATCACACATTATTAAATAACATATTGCAAAACATATTTTTGGAAGGAATATACTATTAGACAGTTTTATTAAAATAATATTTCATATTTTGATTGTAAAATATATAAATACTTGTGTTTACAGTTGGAAGATAAAGCTATTGAAGAATTGGAAAGATTTTACAACATCCATGAGGCTGATGATGAATTAATTACTGTGAAAAGAATTGAATTACAAGTGTCTTCCCCGCAATGGATAAATACAGCACCAAGATAATAAATTATTTGTAATTTTAAATGAACTACTTATTTTCAATAAAATATATTGTATATTTTAGACTCTGACTAATATCAAATGTGTGTTATTTCATTATATATCCTAATTTATCTTTGAAAGTCAATTACTGATGATGCCATTGCTTAATAATTTACCTGGTTCAAAGAACATAGCAATTATCCTTTAACATATAAATTATTTTCAGTTATATAGTATTCATTTTTCCTATTAATAATACGATTAAGAGTCTCAAATAAAAGACAGGACAGATTATATCATTCTATATTAAATACCAATAATGCACGAACATCTCTATAGTTTTTTAAATCTAAACTACGGTTTTGGAGGGAACGATCTTAAAAGCATATTGACTTGTCTGTGGGTCAAATTCTTTTCTCCGGGAACTAGTACACCCTTCTTTCCTTGTTCTCTTTGCACTTTTGCTCGTTTATAATAATCTTTGTAGCAATTTTGGAAAGATGACACTTCCTTAAGACATTGTTGTTGATCAAATTCTGATTTCTTAAAACAAGCGAACATAACTGCTAGTTCTTGCATGCAGGCTGCTTCTTTAAGTTTATCGCCTTTGCCAGACACAGTTTTCTTCAATTTTAATGGCAATAACATTTGAAAGGGAATTGGTTCCCGTTGTGGTCGTCTTGCGCTTATGTTTGAGGGCGCAGTAAATAGTACACTACTTAATCTCATTTTAACGATTTATTGTTTTATAACTTCTAATAATAATATTACTCGAGAAACTGGTGATTACATAAAAGAGGTTATGTTTTCGTATACTGACAGAAACGTCAAATTGACATTTAATATGTGTTCTAAACCATGGAATTTGCTATATTAAAGAATTTACTAAAACCGGCATAATTAATAAAAATTGCTATAAATTGGCATGATCATTTGCTATTGTGTATAATTTTATTACATAATATATATGTATTATGAGGCAACTTCAATATGAACATTTTTTCAAATCATGAATTTTATTTATTACTAAATTAAGCTGATTTCGTCGTATTATTTCAATGTAAATTCTAGAACAGAAAAAGATCTCCACATATTTTTTTTTGTTGTTTGTTTTAGTTTTCAATTCTTTTAAGAGATTTAAATTGTTTCTTTATTAATTAGGTTTTTTTATAGAGAAATAATACGTCATCTTTTAAACTGTAAGGCCTAAGTATACTGTTGCTCAAATATTTAGTGCCCAACAAGAAAAAGTACTTCAGAATGCGGAAAGATGCATTATGATATTTCGAGACACCAACTTTTATTACTATAGACTGTAAAGTATTTGGTATGCACATATTCAGAATTCCCTATGACAAAAAATAAATAATTAGATTTGGTTTAGATTTCGCAGAATGATTGAGAAACAAAAATAAAGAGTTCAGATTCTATTGTACCTATGGATGCAACTGTCATTAATTGGGTTTCGCAAATGCCTAAATTTTAACTACAGAGCCAATTAGGACAATTTTATTAGTAAAAGAACTAGTAACTTATTATGGAATAGTTATAACAATAAACAGTGCCTTTCCTTTTGTTTACTTTTTCCTCATGTAAATTTCAAAGACCCGTTTATGAAAAAGACTTCTGAAGACTGGTCTTGTATTAGCCCATAGGGTTCTAAGGTGCCAATTGTAAATAAGTTTGAATAATGGGCATATTAGAGACACCATTAAGACATTAACTATAATATAGCTGTAACTTTATAAAACTGTGTTTTGCTTTGCTTGAATTGCTTTTACCAACCATGACTTTGCACATAAATAATATTTTTTAGACAGTTACCTAGAATTGTTGAAAGAATATATAAGGATATAATTTACCAAAGTTAGATTTTGTAGAGAACAATTAAAATACAATTATTAACAAAAGTTATAAAAGAGACGTAGCACAAAATGGATAATTTAGATAACTGATTAGATTATGATACATACATCTGACAATGTCAGCTTGTAGCATTTTACCAGTTCTAAAAGTTGACCCATCAGGATTTTCTACTGATAATAACAGTATATATTCCATGATTGTTCTATATGTACTAACAAAGTAATAAATATTGTAAGGTTACATTAATCAATAAGAATAAGAGTTGTGTTGCAGCCATGTCAATCGTGCGGCTAAATCAAACGGGCAGGGGTTGTTTCAGAAGTTTGTCCATAATATGAGTTCTTTCACTATACCAAGTATTTTGAGATACCCTTCCGAATATTCTTTATGACTTTGCAGTATTTATAACACAAGTAATTTTTTTTAGTGATCCTCTGAACACCTTTGTTTTGAAAGAAAATAACATATTTGTAAAAATTATGTAATAAATATTCTTTTATTATTCAAGTAATACATTTGTTAATTAGTATCGAAATATTTTATCTTAAAATATTTTTTAGTTCAGGGTGTCTGGGAGGACAGCGACAGGGGTGGGAAGAATAGGAACAACAATAACTGGCTCAGGAACAACAGGCTCTTCGATGATTTCAGGTTCGTCGACGATGATAACGGGCTGGTCAGGAATGTGGTCATCACTTTCGTCATCGATGACTGGGCCTGGCTGAGGTTTGTTAGCGTCAGAGTTGACGTTGATGATGATCTGGACCAGAGGAGATACTGAAGGAGAGGGTCCTACGGATGAGTCGTCAATGATGACGGGTCCAACGTCGATTGGGGAGTCTTCGTCAATGATGACAGGTCCAACGTCGATGGGGGAGTCTTCGTCAATGATGACGGGTCCGACGTCGATGGGTGAGTCTTCGTCAATGATGACGGGTCCGACGTCGATGGGGGAGTCTTGGTTGTTCAGGATACTGTCAAGCAACTGTTGGAGTGCGGCAGCTGTAGCGGGGTCGGTGCTGGGATGGTTGATAGCGGCAATGATATCCTTGATCTCAGCGGCTTCTGCAGCAGCCACGTCAGGGACGATGAAGCGGGCTGACGCCGCGGCGACACACACAGCGAACACAATGAGGAATTTCATCTTTACCTAAATAAAATATTCAATAAATTAACACCACAATTATATTGAATCAAAATCGAATGAGCTTATTAAACATGTCCAACTTACTTGATTACTCTTGCTAGTTCCAAGTGATTACTAGAGACTATGTATATTGTAGGGTTTTTATATTATTTTATTATCTACATATTTACTTTAATCTTGAGATACAAAGAAACTATCTTTATTTATTAGATGTATATAAATTAAATTAATTCGTTTATTTCTTTTGTTATAATAGCTATTTATTTCTTCAACTAAATATGAGGTTTTAAATAGTTGCGTTACGAGAGCGTTTGCAATGAGTGTTTTTAAAAGGATTGCAGAACAGTGGCGTGCACCCATACATGCAAATAATCACTTCTTACCCTTTTTTTTGATGACGCAGAGAAACTCTTTTTACGAGCCGTCCAACCGGCCTTGGTGGAGCCGGAAGGGATGTGTGGGACTCCGCCTTTGCAGGCCCCTACTCACTAAAACCACTGCGAAAGCCATCGGCCGCTATGTGGGTGTACCCCGGATCTGTCAGCGACGGGGCACACCAGCGACTGGCCGGTCCTGGCAAAGACTGTACTTACTCTTTCGGAGCATGGCCTCGATCCCGACAATTAGGAATGCCCCGACTATGAACGGTCAGAAAAACACTTAGATTCTTGCTTAAAATTACAAACTTTTAAAAGAGATAAAATAGAGTTTAGTTTAAATAGACAGTGTCCGTTAGATATTGAAGGCATAACGAAATTGTTTATAGAAATAGAAACATTTTCAGACGTTTAATTGAATATACAGTTTGCTTTTTAGGTGAACAAGAGTCAGTTTTTCACGGTCATGACGAATCCACTTTTTCATTAAATAATTACAATTTTCTAGAGCTTGTTGATTTGTTAGTTAAATATGATGGAAATAATTGATTAGCTCGTTCATGGGGTTATCAAATAGAACTAAAATGATTTAATTTCTAGTGTCGCGTCTGTAATGTACGTCGAAATAAAAAAATAAATAAGCGAAACCGATTTTGTCACTTATGGTTGAAGAAATTCCAGATGTTAGTGATGATGAACAGCTTGTTATTGTTTTAAGGTACTTTCGTTGCTGAGAGGTATTTGATAGATTCATAAACTATATTGATGTTAGTACTTATCGTACGAGATTAATGAAGTTCAGAGCTTATTAAAACAAAAATGCCCACTCGCGTCGTATGTTTGGTGTTCAGCCCATGAAATAAATCCTATTCTTTCAAAATTCTTTGAATTCACATCACAGCACTGTTGCAGAGTCTGTACTGAGAAGGTTGAAAAAGCTGGAGGAAATAATTCGTTAAAAAAATGCATTTAGACTTTAGAAAATATATTTTTAAAAAACTAAATTATTAGTATCAAAGTAGGTACCTAATATATTTTCTTACTAAAGGCTGTGCCATGAAAAAGATTACAAAACACTGCATTATGAGATTTCGAGCCGAACAGGGAAAAAATCAACATACAATAAACAAAATCCACACATTTTTATTTTATTAAATTTATTTCTCAAATTGAAATTAAAGGAAAGGTTTTATAAATTACCCTAAAGTTTTAAGTCCACACTATAGAAAGTGACAATGTCTACACATAAAGTATGATAAGAAATGAATAATAGTTGATATTCATTGTGATTCTGTGGCCCTGATTGATACAATCATATTAGAGTAACAATAGTTTATAATGGCTTTTAATTACAAGCTATTCAGAAAATCTAGCCTCATATAAAACTTAAACAGTCTCTATTTAAACCAACTTCAAAAAGTTAGCGGCTCTCATTTTTATTACTCTTTTTTTTTAGTATGTAGGCACACAAAATAAATGGAGATTTATGATAGCCTGATATAATTTAGAATTTTATTTTGCTATATAACTAATTAACAAAAAGTGTACATTACATATTACATAATTGATGTAATAGTAATTATTGGGTTCATGCATATTGTATTTTTCAAAATCTTTTCAAGTCTTTGTTCCAATAAGTAAAAGTAGACTTCACTCTAATTGAACAAACTGGTTCCTCTTTATCCTCTTCCGATTTGTATATTGATGAATTGTTAATTAATTTATAACAGATCAATCAATTCTATACATGTATTATGACTAATAGAATGTTTTTTTTCTATAAAGCTGCAATGGAAGTTCTCAAGATTTTCTGCTTCCCCATTAAGTATGCTAATATCTCTTATTTAAAGGCGCCAATCTCTTTCATAATTTCTGCTAATGATTATATTTTTTTTACTTAAGTACAGGCCCTCCGAAGTATGCTGATATCATGAGTATGTACAAATACTTCTAGGGCAAGTGTAGGAAGTAGTTCTATAATCATAGATTGATAAATATTTATATCAAATTTAATGTATGAAAAGTATTCCAGAGTACTTAAATGTTTGTTGACAAATAAATGAATCTTTATGTTTGTGTCACTGCATCTTGGATTAAAATATTCCTTTATTTTTTATGGCACATAAAATATATAAAGACAAGTTAATGTTTATATGTATAATACAAACTACATTATTAAAAAGAAATAACATGTTTACATCGTATTAATAGTGGCAAATAGTTTGCGGTGATCATTTACGGCTAATTCTCAAGACTTTCAAAAGGATTTTTAAATTAAGGCGTCCATTGAATTATTTTTTAAAGAAAAAAATAGATAAGTTAAAGTAGATTTATATTCA